TACCTGAGCGGTGCCCAGCACCCATCCACCAAACTGAGCCGTCAGCCCGCCTACAGCAGCTACATACCTCCAGTGGTGCAGCCCAGAAAATTCAAGAACTGCATGTTAACAGCCGGTTCTCAGGTGGTCAAACCTCGGCTGAAAGGGTCCGTACGCGTACCTCCTCCGTCTCTCCACTTCCTCGTTGCACGTTATGCTGTCACTATTAAAAGGGGGAAACGCCCGCCCACTTGTTTCAGAGTGACTCACCTGGGGGCTGAGTTTTACCTCCAACCAGCTGCCTCTTCCCTCTCACACGCCGGACTCCCAAAACATTTTCAACACATCTCCTACTGATTCCAGATCTTACTCACAACCCTCCAGCTTTTGCCTCCCCCACAGAAGGCACACAGCAGTGCAGATCAGCAGCACAACATCCTCAGCATGGCTGTCTTCATCCCTGCCTCTTCATTTCAGTCGATGGAAGAGCAAATATTATTATGTGAATTGTATTTTTATATAGCTTATGTTGTGTGTCGCGCACAAAAAAACACCAAGGATGTCGGTGCTTGCTGGAAGTTAAATCTGACAAATATTCACCAGAGGTGCAATAACATGTAGACTGAAAGCAGTTTGCATTTGCTGGAAGGGAAGTGGTGTGCTGTAAATGCCAGGAGCCACGTTACTTCTCAATCAACAAAAATATATATTCACTAGGAAAGAAAAAAATTAAGTATTCCAACAGGATTGGTGTCCATTTACTGAAAATAACAACAGCTTTTTATTCAGCTGCAGAATTCTCTCATATTGTTATTTCCAATGTCTCCTATTTTCTACCATCACTAAATCAAAATATCTGATACATTACTACTTTTGTGTATAAAAATGCCATCAGGGCAAATAATCATGTACTAGTGGAAAGAAAAATAGGAAAAACGGCTGGATGGAAGAGGGCAGCTCTGGTCAACACCTCTGAGGCCAAAGGAAGCAAAGGGAAACATCACAACCACAGAGCTGCCCGGGGCCACAGTCCTGTGCACAAATGCACGTTCATCTGTCTTTTTGCTTCAAAGCATGTTAAATGACTGGATATTTAGTCTTTTCTTAGAACTGGGCCTTATATATTTCAGTCGGCCTAGCACTAAAGTATAATTGTGTGCCCCAAAACACTTACAGGCACTCCTGTTAAGCAACAACTACCTCCCCATTTTCCTTATAAAATGACAAATAGATATTCTCTCACTCTCGTAATAAATATCAACATAAATGTGAATGAGAGCCCGTCGCCTGCAACAATGGGCTCCGGGTTTGGTTAAACCGTTGCTGAACAAAACCCAGATGTTTCCCCTGAGCCTGGCTGCTCCCGCTGACAGAAACCCTGCTCGGTTTGGACCTTTGCACCTACCGGAGAAGCACACGGGGGTGGATTCGGCCACTGCACCACTGTCTGGCTGTTAGGAATACAAATGACTTCGTGATGTCAAAAAAGGACCACAGCCTTTCCCTTTCTGTTAAGTCTCCAACATTTCCCCTTAATACTGATACCTGCGACTAGAAACACACCCACGCGTGTAGCATTAACGTTAACCCCATTGTCTCTGCGTGCGTGTGTGTACGCGTGTGTGTGTGTGTGTGTGTTTGTGTTGCCCCCTTTAATGCTAAGCTAGCTCCGCTAAGTGTGGGCTATTCCCATGCAGTCCGCCCCCGGGAGGAATCAATACTCACCCGGTTGAGCCCGGGAGTCCGGCCGCGCCTTCTCTCTCAACCCGCTCGCCTTATCCTGCAAGCTGGTGTGAAACGTACATTTATTCCGGCTGATATCTGGACCGGTTTCAGGGCATGGGTCTGACTCCCTGTCTGTTTTTGTCCACAACAGCGCCGTGCCCGGTCGAAGGAGTCCACTGACGTTAGCTGCTAGCTCTGCTGCTGTTAGTGGAGGAGCCAGGTTTTTTCCAACATGGCTGCAGCTGGCAGCCCACTGACAGGAGGAGAGAGCTCCTACGTGTCCAATAATACATCAAGGGGCTCTTTCACGATGTTACGTGAAACATCCTAAATTCCCCTGTCACATAAGGGGGCGTAAATCTAAAAAGAAAAGCAAGAGAAAAAGTGTGTGAAGTGCACAGGAGGCAGTGGGATCACAGTGATGGTGATGACTGATGGGTGACTGAGGCAGCTTCTAAACTCATCTCATCACGAATGTTCGTTTCTGACAGAAAGACAATATACTCCGTCTCACGTTGTATTTTTCTAAGTCAAACTAGATCAAATCGTGTGGGGAAATTGTAAAAGAGGCATGCAACAACACAATCACTTAAAGCAGTCATCAATCAAGAAAAGTTGAAAACACAACGAAACAGATTTGAAATCAGTCAATTCCAGAGAGATGAAAAAAATAACTTGAGGTTTCAGAAATCACAACTGCAAAACAGAAAAAAGGTACAATTTCACCAAATACATCAAGGATAACATTACTATATAGCAATATACTTAAACAACATTGTTTTGTTTCTTTCCTTTTTACACGTTTTCTTCGATTTCTTATTGTGTTTTGTTTTTGTGATAAGTTTTCTAAATTTTCAATGCATTTTCTTTGCCATTGATGTTCACTGGAATTATACTGATTTGTATTTCATGTGTGTGTGTGTGGGGGGGGGGGGGGGGGGGGGGGGGGGGGGGTTCATACAGATATATGGACTGGGATTCACTCTTTGTAAAATACAATTGCTATAACTAAATAAACTGCTCTCCAGTTTATCAGCCTTTCTTTGGGGAAGTAATCAATACAGTGGTGGATCAGTCATGTTATGCTCATAATAGGGTGTGCGTTTTAAATGAAGCAGTCCTGTGCATGGAAGTATAGCTATATCAAAGGCATTTTCCATGCAAGATTCCAAGTCTTTCCCAACAGAGAGCTGACATCTTATGTCTAATTGAAATCTTAAGAGGTTTTTTTATCATAAATTATTCATCGTAGTATTCTGCTCAAAGCCAGACAAAGGAGGTCTTGAAATAAAGCATACACACATGCCAAGATACACACACATAACAATTGGGACTTTGATGTTGGATAACATTTTGCTGCCTTGCATTTGCATCGAGTATGTATCCAGTCAAAACTCAAAACAATCCATCTACTCACCAGCCTACTCAAGCCCTGCCACCCACAAATTCACTATATTCATGCACGCAGCTGATTTCCATACAAGCATAGATTCAAACAGATACACACTGATTTCAGAGATTATTTTGGCTCACAAAGAAGAAGCATACACATTGTGCTGTGAAGGAGGGTTTAGATTTTTACGCGTTAAAAACTTATGATGATATCATGTTTAGCCATACATTTTCATGTGGGCATCAGTATGTTTGGAGTACATTTTTTTCTATGTTTTGCAATTGAAATATTATAGATACAGATGACAACTGCATGGAAGTCAGCTTCACTGTATACAATGAAACGCAGTTCGGCAAAACATGCATTTCCAGTTTGTCAAAGTAAGAAACAAACAATAAGGTTACTTATTGATACTGTAATAGTCATATATTGTATCAAAGATAATCCAAAGTAGTTGAGTAGTTTCACATTTGGCACAAATAAAGATGGCACAAATAATTGGTGTATGAATGCAAAATGCTAAAATGATCATTTTAAAAGGGAACAAGCTTTTTCACAGTGTCTTTTAATGTCAAATGAATGAATGGACAAGATTTCCATGCTAATTTTGAATGTACATATTTTTTAAACACTGTATTTAGTGTGATTACCCAAAGAAAGGGTTGATGTAGGGCAGCATGGTGGTATGGTGGTTAACACCATCGCCTCACAATTCTCTGGGGGAACTAGGACTTTTGTGAGTGGGGTTTGCATGTTCTCCTTGTGTCTGCATGGGTTCTCTCTGGGTTCTCCGGCTTCCTCCCACCACCAGAAGGAGTGAGTGTGTGAGTGTGCACAGTTGCTCATCTTTGTGTGTCTATATATGTGGCCCTTAGATGGACTGCCGTTTACCCTGCCTTCTGCCCATTGAAAACTGATATAGGCTCCAGTACCCCCCAGAATAAGCAGTTCAGAAAATTGATGAATGGAGGTTTGATGTGCTTAAATGAAACAAGTAGTTCAGAGTAAGAGAACAGAAATGATTGCATTGTTCCACCTAGTGGCCACTTTTGAGAAGTTCGATCTATTGAATAAAAATGAACAAACTATAGTCACAACAGACCACTGAAAACTTTGAAACACCTTACTATTTCATGCAAAAACAAAAAACAAAAATTGAGCTCATCTTGGGATGATATTTACCACTGCACCCCCCTTTCTTATGGCAATAGGTAGGCTGTAACTGTAGAAAAACTTTTGGAGAGGAATTTTGTTTTAATTCTTGGCTGATATAAGATTATGCCTACTGTTATGTCTTACACGTTTTCAGTTGGTTAACTGTCTAAATTTCAAGGTAGACTCTCATTTGAACAGACAACGTCTGGATGCAAACATATGTTCCTCTAAAACCCAGTTTATCTCTTTCCCCCTTAGATGGTGCATTTGTAGCCTCCATCCAAGGCTCTGATTTTCTGAATCTTGTCCCCTGCGTGCAGAGATATTAAAGGTCTTCCCAATGCTATGTTGGGAAACATTACACTGTTTGTAGTCACATTTCTTTTCTACACATCGCCAAGCCTCAACCCATCTTTAATTCTCAGGGACTAGTTTCCTGAATATTTTGATGTTTAATTATGCTACTGATTATTTTACAAAATTAGTTGTAACACGTTTCTCCATCTAAGTCTTGTTTGTACTGCAATCTTTTACAGTAAATCCAAGATGCGTTAAAATACTAATATCATGCTTAGTTCTGGTGATTCTTAGGTGACCAATCATTGTGTGAGTGAACGTACCTGCTTGTCATTGTGTTGACCCTGGAATAGGAAGGTATTGTGTTGGAGGTAGATGGGCTAAAATCTTTGTCAATTCATCTTACTGTTGCCCCAAGAGACAAGAGTGGCCAAAAATATATTAATATTAGTTGACAGTGAGTTTTATTGGGTTGCTCTTAATCAGAGTGAAAGAGTGCTTATTGAGAACAACGACTGTTAAGACAAAACAGAGTTACATTTAGTACAGTAATAATTAATGCAAAAATTTGATTGACAAGTCATATAATTTTATTTTACACATGAAACATGTCTGATTCACAACATTTTGTGAACTACAGAGGCTGTCCATAATACATTTTTCAAGTTATAATACATAGCTGTCATTATTGCATATCATTCTAACAATCATGAACATGCAGTTTTTAAACAGATGTGCACTTTGTTTTTACGTCTTTATCATAACCTCTACATTGATGGACATAGAATATTTATATTTATCTATATTTCTAAATATAGAAATACAGAATGAGGAGCACTGCTGGTAAATCTCATGCAGTGTCATGATAAAGAGGGCAAAAGACATGAATGGATGAGAAAAGACACAGAGGAAACTGAAGTGAGAGGAGAGGACTGGAGGAAAGTCAAGGTGAGGTGTGAGGCTTTTCAGAGGTGATGGAAAGGAAACAGTATCGCTGGGGGATGAGAGCAGAGGGAAAAGAATGATAGGCCCAATTAAAAGGGTTGGTAATATCAGGTAAGTGGATGAGACAGTGGTGTGTGCTCTAGCAGGCCACTTCAGTGGTCTTTGAGGTGCTCTGGTTAACACTGGAGAGGCTGTCCATGGTCACGTCGGTGTGTGCACGTCCACGCTTGTCTTCAGCACCGTGTGAGTGGGTGCGGTCACGTTGCAGCTCGTTGGTGTGAGAGCGGCTCCTAGAGCCATCAAACGATACTACACTGGAGCTGGAAGTTGTCCGTGAACGAAGTCTGGTCATACTGGCACTGGACACTGGAGAAAAAGGGGAGAAATTCTTTCTTAATCCCAGAAAATCTGAAAAGTCAGCATGCCTTACTATCTGCCCTGAAGTTTATGTTAAATTTATTCATATCTGATATACAAACTCCTTATTTTTTTCCACTGTGATTGATTCAGCTTGTAATAAATCTATAAATGGAACACTTTCCTAATATTTATTGATTTGTCTATTTTTCTCACAAACATAATCGGGATGATGTATTTAGCTTTCGGATGTAATTCGTAACAATTGGTTATCACAAACAAACCAACAAAAGAAGGGACGATTTGAATGTGATGTGACAATGCAACAAAGAGCTGAAAAGGGAACAAAGATTTAGACTGTATCTCTTTGGGAAGTGGTTGTTCTAATTTCTGAAGCAATTGATTTATAGTAGTTAGTATATAGCAAAAGTTAAAGCATGTTGTCTTACAGTATCCCATGCCCTGGATGAAATATTTGAGGGCTTCAATCACGTTGGCTGGCTGTGGAAAGTAGGATAGAGCTTGTTAGACACATTAGTAACTAGTCAAACGCAGACTGTGTTCTCTGTGTTGTCTATCCTACCTGATCTACATGAGGAAGTCCTCCGCAGTCTGCCATCTAGGTCATAGCAAAAAAAGAGTCAGGGTGTGTTACTACACCACCAAAGTGATATAAGAAAAAAAATCAGACTAAGAATATGACTGAAAAGATGGAATCCCAAAGATTTTAACAATTTTGCGTTGTATATGAGTTTACCTTAAGCAGTGTGGTCTTAGTTGGGTTAAGTTTGGAGTTGCAGTCCACCACTGCTTCCACAACTGGAGAGTTATCCCCCACAACCAGCAAAGATGCACACCTACGAAATAACCCAACAGAGAGGTAAATTGGCAGGAGGAGTTAAGTCAGGTGTCAATTAAATAATAACATATATGTCTATCTCTATATATACATATATACTTATTTAAAGCAAATTGTTTTATACTCACTTGAGGGTCCTGGCATTGATATTACCCCCTGGAATGGGCCTCTCTAACTCCAGAGGACTGCGGCTGTTGTAGCAGCGGTAGAACAGACTCACGTTGAACTGGTTCATTTTAGTTGTGATGTGGTGACGATAAGTTGCTATGAGGTCATGGTTTGTCTGGATTTCATCCTGTTGGTAAAGTAGGGTAAATATTGTTTGAGTAGTACATTTGGCTCTGTTTGAATTTAGTCTCATCACCTTATTTTACTTTAAGAAAAAAAGACAATCACATCCATAACCTTAGCTTTTTGGGTTGTTATGGTAACTGAAGCCAGTCCTTCATAGCTTACCTTTCCAAACAGGTGAGTGATGACTTTGTCTGGCATGGTTTGAGTCCATTCAGTAATCTACAACACAAATGGTTATAAATATAGGCAGATTATGAATGGAAAACATTTTTGAAACACTCTTGCCATTCCCACATGACAAATAAGTACCACCTTTTAGATTGAGGAAGTACATACAAATATCGCATACCTTGTTTGCAACAGTATCAATTAGGCCTTCAGCATTTGGGTTGATATTGATTAGGACCAATCCATCCACCATATCTGGGTGATTCAGCTACAGAAATAAGAGAGATGAGGACATTGTTGTATTTGTTAGCACAGTATATGCCATGTGAAATTTTATGCATATCGTATATACCACATAAGCCATCCTTACAAAAAGACTACAGCTCTTATAATCTCAAAAAATCTACTTCATCATATCATGTGAACATTTATCTTAGCTCGATATTGTGTAGAAGAAACAAAGTTAAAATCTGTCCTCAAACTGGTGTCAGTGGCATATTAAGTTTTAATTCAATCAGGATAAAGGATTTAAACTCACAGCAAATACGGCCAAGATGTGTGCTCCTGCTCCAACCCCAAGGCCAATTACACTACGCAACCTGGAAAAGAACCACAGAGGAAGGCATTAACTACAAGTATTGTTTTATCAGATGTGTAAGAACTGCGATTAATTACGGGTCAATCATACCCAAAGTGTTTGAGAACAGCGGGAAGTGCTTCAGAGAGCTGCTCCATGGTTGGGTAGGTGTACCTGAAGGGTCAAAATTCCACTATATCAGCAGCAGACATTGTGATGACTGATGGGTTGTCTATTAAGTTGTTAAATAATTGTATGATAATTCTAAAATGCAAAAAAAATCCTGAACACAATTACAAAAGGCCCCCAAAACCTTGTTAAGGAAATATAAACTTAAGGTAATGAAGATAATATACTAACGAAGTAGGAAGAGTTTTGGCTCCCTCATCTTGTCCCGGTGCTTCAACGTGACAGACAGGCAAATGTCTGGTGATTTCCTGCATGTCTTCATGGTTGAACAGAGTCTCAAAACAAATCTTGTCTGCAATGAAAAAAGCATAATAATCCAATAAAATAATGTGGATGTCATATCATGCAAACTCAGCAAATGGAAAAACAAATAAGTTTGAATAACATTGACTTTCTGAAAAATTTGAAATAGTGGGATGGCATGTAAGACGATCAAACTATTGAAATCAGTTGAGGTGTTTAAAAGATGAGAAAGAATGCTCAAGATGTATTCGAAGTGATGGAGAAACAAATCAATAAACATGGGTTATTCTGAAATTAATGTGACTGAACAAGTTGGTATAGGAAATGACTGCAGAATGTAAACATTGCAAATATCGCACAGTAGGGCCTAAGAGCTGTGACTTACGGCTCAGTCCAACATCATGAAAGGTCAGGATGGCCGGGCGGTTTGCCTTCAGAGTTCCTGAGATGACGCAGTGGATGTCTCCAAACTGAGTCTCCACATACTCCTCCTGGAAGGAAAACACACATTGTTTAATTACAGACTTGCCATAGTTTGAGGATGCCAGTTTCTATATATAAAAAAAGATTAAGATAAGTAAGAACAAATGTTTAAAAGTCATACTCACAGTGAGATGAGGCTCAAAGACAGCGTCAGAGTCGTGCTCCTCGAGAACCATTGTTTGTTCAAAGATGATGGACTGCAACAGCAGCGATTTGCAAGGAATAGATTTGGTTAACAATGTGTTGTCCTTTTAGGCTGTATTTCTGGCCAGTCCTGCAGGCGGATACAAAAGTGACAGACTATATGGTTGAGCTGGTTTATATATCCTCAGTCCTTGATCTGTCTCTAAGCCTTAACGTCAACCTGGCTCAGGCGTGGCCAACTGGTCTTTCCTTCTTTAATCTGATCTCAGGCTGCTGGATTCCACAGCTTTTTATTTTTATTTTCAAGGAATTAACATCATCAATACAAAACAAAACCTTCAATGTGAAATTTTCCTTAATCTCAAAGGGCTTTGATAAGAATTTACTTTTACAGATCATACATTTATTAGCCACACACCACATCTTTTTTTTCTTAAACATTGTAAAACCTTGTGTTTACCTAAAATTAGCTCTGATTTATAAGAATTAAGTGCTCCCAAAACTTACTGAAATGATCATATGTTGTGTCGGATGTTTACTAAAAGGAGATTTACTTGTGAAACTTGGTTTATGGTGGAGGCATCAATAGAATCCCAAACGCGGTCAGTCAGGCCATTAGCAGGTCAGCTGCTTAATCCAAGTGGCCCATCTGTTGTTCCCAGTAAAGTAGGCTGCTTTCTGTACCTAAACAAAGGTGAATGTTGTGTTACTGTAAAATATTCAATCAATTACAATGAGCTATGTAGTTATTGTTAGGTATAGCTGCAAAAGTGAAAGTAGTTGAGGCATGAACAGAGAGAAAAAACATCTGAGAGAAATTCTTTCAATAAGGTTATCCATGTTTACCTAAAAAGCTTTGATCGCAAGAAATCACAGCGAGGAAAAAGATTGCATTACATTTGAATTTTACTATTTTTAAAGCAGAAAAAGATACAGATTTGATCCCGGAAAAAATACAAGAAGAAATGTGTTTGATAGCTTTTTGGTGACACAATTCTGAAAATAAGTCTGTGTATTATATTTGAATTCACAGTTAAAAACCTGTATGAGTAAACAAAAATAAATAATTAAAGATATATTGGTAGCTATTATCAAAGGGATAGCCTTTCTGTTGCTACCATTCAGAAGTTTCTTATAATATATTTGAGTAATGCAATGTCTTGGTCCAATGAAAAGCATTTTCAAATAATTTTTCTTTATTCTAAAGAAAGGATTTTTTTTCACTCTCAGCTGGTTTGTAAAGTAATTCAGCATTACTATCAGTTCATTCACTAATACCAATCGACCTTTCCATCTGTGAGTTTCAAGGGTTACAATGTCTCAGTTAAATAGTGTGAGCTCTGATCCAAGTGGTTGTAATTCCTTAAAAGAAGTAGATGTCACAACCTCAATTTAAACCTCAAACTTCAAATGAATTGTTTTCTTGAAATAAACCAAACTGTGGACTTAATCCTTCTGTTTGATTGACTTACATTTCACTCTGTGAAATGTTGTCAGTTTTCAAGTGTCCACTGTTTAACTGTATATGAAATTGTGTTTTTATCGTGGCATAAAAGCATGTTGTTTTGATTTCTAAATTAAAATCAGCCATTGGCGGTAGTTGGTTGTGTCTAGACTACCCAGCAGACAGTACCAGCTGGCGAAGTGGAAACACAACAGATTGTTCAGTGACCACTTTTATAAAGCCGCTGTGCCACCACTACTTGGACCATACACACAGTGCTGCAGGAAAGCTGTGTGCAACAAGTTTAATCCATTTAGCAGTGGCTGATGACCAGCGGAAGGCAGATGGGTCTTACTCAGCTTCACGTCACTCTGAGGGCAGTACAACATTATGTGAACTCTGACTAAGCTCTGGCCTGCAAACCTATTTTACTCCTAACTTGTATCCCATATTCCACCAGATGTGTCTGGTATATTCAAAACAAGTTGGTCTAATGGTTTTTTGAAAGTATGTCACTTACACTGATACTTTCACTCACTTAAAGTAAAATTTATCAAAAAGATTCGAGTTTCTTTGTTTAAGTGAGGAATTTTCTTGAGAGTTTTCACTCTGTGCATGCCTTTGTTAGTTATGAACATTAGACAGAATGGTATAAAGCAGGGGTGTCAAACTAAATTTAGCTCAGGGGCCACGTGAAGGAAAATCTGTTCCCAAGTGGGCCAGACTGTAAAATCGTGGCATAATAACTAAAACATAACGACAACTTCAGATCTGAGATTGAACAAAATACTCTTCTAGGTATCAAATACCTTTTGATATCAAATACATTTGTCATTTCCACATATTCAGCTTGAGCTAACTCACCACATCATACAAAATTAGGTAAAAACTATTCAAGAGGGTGGAGTTACCTCCTACCTTGTAGGCTACACTGTTTATTGATAGAAAATAAAAGCTGTGCAATGCATTGACAATTTTAACAAACCAAACTTATGAACAGAAGCTGATTACAGAAAAAAACCTGCTCACACAGATATATGGTTCCAAACATGCCCAACACTTTTGCAGCAAGGTTTGTCAAATTGGGCTAACCTGGCAAGAGATGCTGCTAAAACGTGTCCAAGCTGCGGCAAACTTGCCCGTCAAATCCGAGTCACACTGCAAGTCTATTATTTCTAATTGGATGTTGACGGGCAGGTCAGACGCATTCGCAGTGAATGGAGACCAGAAAATGTTGAAGTCTTTCTCAAGTCCCGTTGAGAGATCATATTCTAAAACCCTTATAGATCTACATAACTATTTCTCATTAATACATTCTATTGGTCAGCCTTTTATACTTCTGCTATTCCATGGATAATATTCCAATGATAAGCATTTTAAAAGCTTGTTACATTTTTAACTATTTGACTCACTTTATTAGTCTTTCGTTCTAGAAATAATAAACCTTTTGAGTACACGAGGTTCACTGTTTTGAGTTTAACCTTCTTTTTTATACAAAATAGGAGGGAAGGTTAGGTTATTACTATCAAATAACAGATGAGTAGGACCATTCAAACACAAATTCTCATATTGCCACCACCAAGCAAGAAGTAAACCAAGCAGGAAGCAAACCTTGACAAATGTTGGTTGGACAGGCTGGGCAGAGTGCAGCGTGATGTTTAGTCTAAGCTGTACATTTGGTACCTTTGAGTCATTTCCCCGTAGAGTCCAGTAGATGGAGTTTCATGTCCACTTTCTGAAGGTCGTTTGTCACGTTACAGCATAAAGAAGATTGGAATTCTATCATGATGCTTTACTCAATCTAGGCAATAAATTAATGATGTTACTATTTCTTGTAATTATATTCTATACGTTTATTATATTTTATTCTTTACTATATTGGAATTTTTCTTGAAATATTTGAAATGTTTAGCTTTTTAGATTTTGATTCAGCTTTTTATCCATGATAAATCCAAGTTTCAGACGGAAGCAGAGTTTACAGTATATAAATAGGACATTTTTTGGCATTCATTTAGTTTTTTATTTATCTTGACATTGCCTACTCCATGGAAAGTAAGAGAAGCATTCCATTATTTGATGACATACAACAAACAGACATTTTGTTTCTTGCCTGTCAGAATTCTTTACATTTCTGTGCTATTTCATTGTCAAGCTGAAAACTTGTTGTTGTTATGGTAACTCTTCTGTCTGCAGGTAGAAGTCAGTGTCTGCCTCTCAGCTTTCAAAACATTCTAATTATAAACACAGCAGCTGCCACTGCTTGCCACATGCCTGGCTCTGTGTGCGAGTGTGTGTGGCTGAGTGTGTTTTGTTGTTTGTGTGTTTATGAGTAGGTCCGTGTGCGTGTGATCAAGGTCTTATGCTGTGGAGACATAAATCTGTTTACAAATTATAAGTACAATGTGTGTTCCTTGTGGAAAACCTTGTGACTTAAAGCATGAAATCTTAAGATATATAAATACTTTAAAATCAGTTTTGTGATTTGGGTTGGTTAAGAAGTCATTTTGGTTAAAGTTAACAAGATATGGAAAGTCAACATAATGCCATCTGGATTTTCAGATATGAGATCTGTGTGTGTGTACACTTTCATGCCTGAAGATGTGTCTTCAAACCCCTTCAAAGCATCAGTTTGTATTGTTGCGTTCCATACATTGGCACAGTATCATTTGCTTCTATAATCCAAAAGAACTTGAAAACAGGAACCGGAAGCCTGCTAAAGATGGATTAAATCTGAAACCTGACCAGGAGAAGAACCCATTAACACGACTTGTGTGTGAAACAGGTTTTAAAAGCTATAACTTACAGAAGAAACTATGCATCCTTTTCATCTCTAATTTCTTCTCAGTTGCTCAGGGAATTATGCAGTGTTTCAACAAGGGTGCTGGATACGTGTGCCTGGAAGGCAGAATTACAAATTACTTCAGAGGAGAGGATGCACTGAGTAATTGTACACATCATCATGGTTAATCAATCTAACATATGTACTCCCATTGTAATGTGCTGTTGATTTGTTGGCTTTTGTTTAATAGTTTTATAGTCATTTCTGGTTTTGTGCAACTGTTGCTCTGTGTTCTTGGTTTCCTTTCCTTGTTTCTGCACTCCTTGTCATGCTCGTCAGTCCTCAGCTTTTTTTTCTGTGTCAATCTGCTGTCACATACCTCTCTACATAAGCTGTCTGGTTTTTCTTTAGCCCTCGTCAGGTCCTTATCCATCATCCCTTTGGATGTGCGTTTTTTTCGCCCCTACATTGAGCTTGTTGGTTACCTACTAGTGGTCTGATTTATGTTTGCTTCTTCGATTTCAGTTTTTGGTTATCAGGTCTTTTGTTTTGTTGGGCAATAAATATAATTTTACCAAGTCCTTTTCCCTTTTCAACACAGTGTGATGCTTTTTCTCATTTCAGTTATTGGTTGTGAATTAATGACCCAGAACGAAACTTGTTTTTCAGTTACTAACCAGTGTGCAAATGTATCAAAGATTAGCCAACTCTCTGTGTAGACCGCATGTTATCATGAAAATTGCAGCACAATAAAAACACAGCAGTTCCTGGTTTAACTTAAACAAGATGGTTGGAAGGGGAATAAAACCTAATAATTATACAACCTAAACCAAGCGAAATCAGAACTCCAGAAACTTCAAGTCCACAAACTTAAACACATTAGTCAAAAAATAAAAATGTTCTTAATATTCTACAATTGCTCATAAAGTTTTTTTATACTTTAAATCAACAGTTTTAATCATATTATTCTAATTTACTGTTAGAAATGTTGGCAGCATGCAGTCGCAGCATTTTGCAGAAGCATTTAAGTTTCAGTTACCCAAGGCATTGTATAAAACAGCTGCTTTAATTCTTATTTCTTTTTCTTTTTTCTTCTAATTGTATACTTGCAAACATCCAACACAAATACAGCAGCGTGAGAGCAGAAGCTCCTGATCCAGATTAGAGCTCCTCTGCAAAGGTGATGGAAGGTTTAAATAGAGCTACTCATTGCATAATGCCAAGAATAGCCTACCAAGAAGGATCTACTTCAACATCAACAGTATTTACTCAAGCGTATGAAGACTATTTAAAGTTTTTATGGACTGTCCTCAATTTTTTCCCCCGTCGTCTACACTCACAACCTTTTTTGGAACACGGTCTAACGTCCCACATGAAAGAAATTTAAATGTATCCATAACTGAACAGATTATTTTTAGCCCCATATACGTACACCAAGAATTTCCAAAACAAAAGCTTATTCCACTCTGAGCAACAAGCTTGACATTATCCAAAGAAAAAACTACAATGGCTTCCAATGGAAAATAATTGTACAATGATATGTTAACAGTTTGATGTTAACTTTGAGTTGTGTCCAGTAACATTTGACGGTTTCCTCCAAACAATGAGCAGATTTAAGTTTTTGAAAGCATGACTTGAACACTCCTTTGATATTTCTCTTAAATCCGTTGTCAAATGAATCAGTGCTGAAGTCTTTGCAGGTCAGCTTGTTGCTCTATTTAATGTAACTTGGAAAGAGGCCATAGCCGGCACCCCTTTAAAAGCACAAGACTACCAGGTGACAAGTGACCTACTGGGTGTCATCTCACATGTCCAGAAACCATTGCAGCAGCCATGTTAGGCCTTGCAGTTTGTAGCATCAAGACACATTTACACTGGAGCTGGCTGTTCCACAAAAAGATTAAAAAATGTATATTGGATAATGTGAAAAACAGAAACCAATTCGTAAAATTAAGAGAATATGGGTTTGGGGGAAAAAGCTTATAAGGGTATGGTACAAGTTACAGGAATCTTCTTTCATAAATAATTAGACATCATAGCTAATCAGTCATTTCATACCCTGATAATTCATACATTAATGACTACAAAGAAAGCTGTTCCTCTGTTCATAAAATAAGTGAGAAGCAGCACTTGTCAAGGGTGATGGAGGCGAGGTTGTGGTCTTGATGACATGCTCAACAGGTTTATCCAAACTTATTCTCATGAAAAAATTATTTAAAAAAACTTTTGGGCACATTAAGCAGTGGTCTATTTGAAGTGATAAAAAGGGAATTTCATGAAATGATCCCCTCACAAACTTTCAATCGTGGAGGTGTATAGATAAAGTGTTTTTTGAGGCTTCTAAACCAGTACAGTACAGGCTACCGTAAGATTTATAAATGGTAAACAAAACTAAAGATACTACATATTAGAACTAGAACAGGTTCAATAGGAAGTTTGTTCGAAGTACATCTTAATATATTCTATGTAACATCCCAAGTAGAAAACAGATGACTTATCATGTTAATTACCACCTACAATGTATTAGTTAAGAATATGCAAATGCAAGAAAGGCCCAAGCTGCACAAAATAAAACAAAAATATCCTGGACAAGAGCTGAAAGGCTTGGGATTCAAGCAGCGATTGTCATCAACATTGATATGACCTGCCAAGCAGAATGCCCAACCATTTGCCATTCTCCTTACATTTTGGCACTATTAACTTTAAAATTTTAAATCTTTTGTGCCACATCATGTTTCTGACTCTCTCAGCTACCTTTATTGACAACTTTACCATAAAAACTGGTGCATACCTGCAGTACTCTGTTAGTAACAGCTAAATCTATATTCTAAAGCAATTGCTTGGGGTTCAAGGAACAAGGCAAAAATAAGTATTGTGTTTGGAATCTGCTTATCACCTCTTGTGCCTATTCTTAAGCTTGTTATCTAGGATACAAAACATGACAGACCACTGCAATGAAAACCTAAATTGGGTAAACAACAAGCCTTGACAGGGGAAACAAATTTACACCAAACTGCCAGAGCCCTGAGAAAAGCTACAAACACAAAATTAGATGATCATTGTCACTGAAGTTTTGATATGAAGCAAATCTTCTAATTATTGATTTTCACATCACTCTGACCATTAAGAGCAAGTAACAGCACTGAACTGTGAACAGCCACATTGAATTCCGTGCCACTTTTTGTACTGAAATAGCCAGTGATTACCACCAGAAAGACTTTAACTGATGTGGATAGGTAACAGAATAAGGCCGCACCACAGATTAGCTAAAGAAAACACTAAAACTTTGGACTATTGTCTTAGAGAGAAAGTTAATTCCATTAACTGAGACTCAATGGGTTCATTTGTCCAAGCTGTCTGGTGGCTTAAATGACCACCTATTTTTAGATCCAAGTAGGGAAAGGGAAGGAGGTGTGGAAAACAACAGAGGGTCCGGTCAACAATTTACTGCAACAGATGTTAAGGACACCAGTTATTCAGCAAATGTGCTGTAATATCCAAGAGGAATGTGAACTGGAACACTGCTCCTCATTTATTTTGTGATATGGCCTGTGTGCAAAAGTCCATGGAGCATGCAATCACTGTCCCACAGGCCCCCCTTTCTTCACACTAAGTAGTAAGGAGGCAGAGAAGACTGTCAGAGTAACGGACAAAGGGGAGCAGGGGGAGGAGGGGTGTGAGGCTCCTCTCCTCTCTTTCTAAGAGCATTAACTCTAGAGCGTTCTGGTAGTGACAGGACTGTCAGGGTCAGATGGCCCCTCAGCCTGATTAGACCAGCTCACAGCAGATCCTCAGCCCAGCACGCTGCCGTACAAGAGCAGAGCAGAGCAACAAACTGGCACACACAGCACGTCGCAGTGATTACAACGCAGGCCAGAAGGGACATGGAGAGGTGGACAGTTGAATGTTTTTGTGGGACTGAGCTGTAGGGTGTTGCAGAGACGTGACACTGTGCTGCTGGACCAACAGCTATCTTGGCCACTTGTAAGAAGGAAAAAGCTTAAAGCGAGTTGATTTCAACATTGGCAAAGAGCAAGAAGAACTCAAATTGAATCTTTTGGAGGGGACTTCAAAGAGCTAAGCGGTAAGGAAAAACACTGACATCAAAGTGTTTATGGTTTGTTTCTCGTTGCTTATTCCATTATGGTTATCATTTCCAGTCGTGTGGTGCCCCTCTCTAACAAGTTCCGATGCGATAGATCAAGCTGATGTGATATATGAGGAATGTCATGAGATTTTCAGTAAACATTTAGAGTGCCGCTAGAGATTGTCATCAGGTTTATCAGAGAAATTCTCTGGAACTGGAGGAGGGTGCTAAGATAGCAGTGTAGCAACAGCACTGGGGACAGTTGTTGCCACAAAAATTTGATGTGTCATAGAATCAGCCGCTAGTATAGATAGAGCTATAAATACAGCTGTAGGTATTTAGCATCTACGGAGGTTTACTATAACAGGCAGTCAGCTGGTTGAATGTCAGCACTCAAACTTCTGTGGGGCTGCTTCTTCTGCAGGACTTTACTGTAACTGCCAGTCAGTGCTTTGAGGATTTCCCTATTCAGCCGCCAAGAGGTAAGAAAGAAAGCTTAGAATTACGCAAATTCAGGACTTCAGCAGGAGTTTTTGAAGTTACTAGAGTAACTGACTATCTCCACATCTTTTTTTTTTGGTCTCTAACTGGAAATCGGTGGAGGTTAATTGTGGACGAAGCAGTCAGACTTATCCTATTTGAAGCCATTACTCATGTGGCCTGTTAAGCCTCCTTTCACTCTGTTACTTTGTACTGCAGAAAACTTTTTTGCCCATAAGATGTCTCTAAAATGATTAAAAAATTCATAATTGAGTTCAATGTGTTCTGACATGGCTTATAACTGGAGATTAACATTTTGTAGAATGCCCTGTAAGACAGCAGTGAGGCTTTGCTGTGCAGTTTTGAATAGAAATTTAAAATTGTTTTTTGAGTTTTGTCTCTCATGATGTAGTTTGATTCAGGATTGACTTAGATATCTTTCCTTACACTTTAAAAAAAACTATATCTCACATTTGGAGGAATAAATCTCTACTACGATTGTTGGAGATGGGGTAAATTCCTAATTGGAACCAGTCAACAACTTTGATCAAACTTCAATATTCTGAGTGAGGGTGTAAATCTGTTTGTAAGTGTGTTAAAGGTGGCCACAGATTAGCTTCAAAGCTTTTCCTGGCACTTTTTCTGATAATTTGGACATGTGAGAAAGTACAAGATTAGACCTTTGACTGCTTTTCTTCTTAACCTTATCACTTCCTTATCTTAAACAGTCATCAATGTCATTTTTGTGTTATCATATATGCATTGTATCCTATATTGCACAACAGCCCCTAGTCATCAAGGACACAAATCAACTTTCTCATGGTGGGCAGTAGCTAAACATCCCACATATACTGATACTACAGACACACTTTTAACTAATTTTGGTTTGACTTTTTAAAAGCCAGACCAGATATATTTTGCTTGTTAATATGCTAATCTTCCAGCCTGATATGCAAACAGTTTTAACAGTTTTGTTGTCCATTATTTGTAAGGAGGAAGACTAAACGTTTATGCAAATATCAGTGGTTGAAAATATTCGCTTTAGGTTATATTTTGATATGTGGTAAGTTACTCCCTTCTAATCCAAAAAAGTTAACACATTTTCCATGTTTTTGGTAATATACCGATTATCACTGTGCTTATATGAGTAAAAAAACTCATAGCTGAATCTCCCATGACTTCCTGATCTTTAAATGAGCCACACACCAATACACTTCACGCCTGCAGTTATTACAAATAAAAAATGAAAGAATATAGTCTATCATGCTAACTGTAATTTATTTCCTTGAAGATACCCTACATGACATTACAATGTTATCTATAAACCTTCTGACTACTCTTGCAAAGCGGATATTAATTGTTTTTTTTAATGTGTTTTGGAGTGTAGAACCCCTGGTTGATGGAGTTTGTGCGGCAGAGTGGTGACTACTGCCACGCTCAACACGTTTAGAGGTCTGTCTGGGATGATGCCTCACCATGAAGTTCTGGGTCCATGAACTCTGAAAGACCACTGGCCTTTGCCCTGTGAATCTACCAGCTAATGGGGTAACAACAGGAGCTCCAACACCCAAATTTAACTGGAGAAAAAAGGAAAGAGAGAGTGACTGAGAGAGACTAAGAAAGCCAGGATCAGTGAAAGTCACAGAGAAACAAAGAGAGCTGGCACACAGCAGTCTCCCGGACCATCAGATCTAGTCAACAGATGGGACAACAATCCAGACAAAAGGACATCACCGCTGGAAAGATACTTTGAAACATCAGAAATAGACAGGAAGTGCAAACTCGCCTGGAGCTCAGTCTGGGTTGTGAACACAGTCACTAACTGTTACATCTCGAGTTAAAGGTGAGGGTACAGTTGATCACCAGGTCTGTTTAAGTCATGCGCAAACACTTTAAACTCCACTTCTTGTGACATGGTGTCCAAAATGTGTCAGCTGGATTGTTTTTTTCTTTTTGAGTTGCTTCATGTGAAAATATATTTAAAAAAAAAAGAAGTTTTAATATGCCAGATCCAGGTATTCATGAAAATAATTGTATAAAAATCCTATAAAGTAGAACAACCATATTAAATATAATTTCATTTTAGCCAACATGATCGTGAACACAAAATGCTTCATATATAATTGAGAGGTCACTGTGTTCTTGCAGGGCACAAGGTTTCATATCACATGTCCATATTACATCCAGGACTGACTTCCAGATTAGTTATGTCACAAATCATGCTCACATGTACATACTGGAGAAATCAGATATAACAGACGGACATAGCATCAGATTTGTATCTTGGTATTAAAAAATATGTGTTAGATCAAGCTGAGGTGGAGAAGTGCTCTGGTAGCCCACCCATGGAAACAAAACACAATAAACCATTGCAGATTTTACTGCCAAGGCTCTTTACTTATCTAAACTGTAAAAGTTTAGATGTGACAAACTACATGGAACCTTTCCAGAAAGTCATGGAAGAGTCATGACAGAGTATGCCGTTGATCTTGGAACCAGCAGTTGTTAATGAAATGCAGTTGAACACATCACAAATCCTGTATTAATGGATGTGATCAATATGGATTAAAAAGGTATGAAGCGCTGATATTGGTGTGGGTTGTCCCACATTAACAGAGAAAGAAGCAGATATCAGCTCAGGGTATTTGGTATTCACATATAAAAAATAAAGATCCAATCAAGGGGGAAATGATAATAGTAATGTTGTGCTATAGGCGCTTTGTTTTCATTCTAAAATATCTTTTTTTGGAACACTAAATGGAAGGTTTGATATTTTTGTAAATATGCTTGTAATGGAAAATGTGCATGGGATGTCTTGATCTCTTGATTGATTAATTTATGGCTTAACATAGAGGCTACAGGCCAGGGAAAAGTCTGCTCCCTCCACAAGTGGTTCAACATATATTAGTAGTAATTATCACATAAGTTTGCTTGACTGTTGGTCTGTTTAATTAGAAAAAATATAAATTAGGATTTCATGGGGATTGCATGCATTAACTATTTTCTGTCACTCCGACTTTGTCTTTAGCTAACTCCCCGCCTAAATTTAGAAAGAGATGGCCATCGAATGCTGAACGATCATATAGACATTGAAAGGAGCATTAAAGACAATTTTGCACAAATAAAAAAAGCTACCCTAAATGTAGTTTAGATATAACTGTCATTTTATTAGCAGATTCCTTCTAATGATTTCCTGCCTACTTATAAAGGTCAGAGGTCCTCCTGGGTTGTCAAAGGTTACACTAGCCACCATGAACCGTCCAGCTCCAGTGGAACTGTCCCACAGGAACATGAGATTCCTCATCACACACAACCCCACGGACAGTACTCTCAGCTCCTTTATAGAGGTAATAAACTTTTAATCTTAAGTTAAAACATCCAAATTACTGCATATACTTTACACACATCTTACAGGTGACAGCTTTTTCCACTGACATTAGTGGCTTCAAAGTGGCTTTTAGAGAAAGAGAGAAGTTAGTCTTTGTATTTGCTCATTCCAGGACTTAAAGCGGTTTGGCGTGACCACTGTGGTTCGAGTTTGCGACATCACGTATGACAAAACACCAATTGAAAAAGATGGCATTACTGTAGTGGTAAGAAAAGAAAACACGCCAGTTTAATTGAAACGCTGTTTCCCCGTCACACGCATAAAGCTGCTGGTAGTAACTGCCTTACCTGTCCATTAGGACTGGCCTTTCGATGATGGAGCACCGCCACCTAGTAAATTAGTTGATGACTGGTTGAGTCTGCTGAAGAAGACGTTTCAAGAAGATCCAGGAAGCTGTGTGGCTGTTCACTGTGTGGCTGGACTGGGAAGGTATTTCAGTACACATACTGAAAGATAAATGGACACATAGAGCAGATAAACATGACTCTTTTTGCATACTGTTATACAGGGCTCCTGTCCTGGTTGCTTTGGCTTTGATTGAAAGTGGAATGAAATATGAAGATGCAATCCAGTTCATCAGACAGTGAGTACATTTATGTTCACAATAATATCAAGAAATTATAAATGCAGTGGTGAAGGAGATTTGCTTTTCACACTAAAAGGCTTCAATAAAATATTATAAAGGAATAATTACATTCAGCGCAGCAACAAGTTCTCCTCCAAAGTTCTGAAGACAATTCTAACGCACACATTCAGCCACTTGATCAAGCTTCATTAAATCCATCTTGATGAATTTTCAATGGTCCTCAGGACAAGCAGCCCTTTTACGATAGCGGAAGTACAAGTAAATGTGTTTTTTCTTAAGCTTACATGACCTTCCACCTCAGACACCACATGCACAGTTGCTTTATTTAGTTTAAGTGAAGTGTTGTAGATGTTCACAAGGATTAGCCTGCTACTGTAAATACACCTTACATATTCTCAACCTATCAGATTATAACATCCATCCATCCATCCATCCAGTTTTCAATGAGGCAGGGTACACCCTGGACGGTCCGCCAGTCCATCGCTGGGTCACATATATAAACATACAAAGACCAAAAACCACGCAATGTCCAATCAACCTAATGTGCAGGTTTTTGGATGGTGAGAGGAAGCCTAAATGTATGAACAACTAATATTACTTATGAACTATAAGGGCACAGAACATGAGCTAGAGTTGCTTTTACCCTGAATCCAAATCTTATCATTCACTATAATATGGTTTCACTGGTATGAACTGGTCTTTGCAGGCTTCCTGACATTGTGTCATATTATTTTCCTTAATGGTTCCTTAGAATGGCCATAAATATATATACTTTTATAATATCTATTAATGCCATCTTTGTTACTACTAAGTGTTTCAGACAATTGTCCATTTTTAAAATGTTTAGAATTTTTCATATTAATCTCCATGTAAGATTCTCAGTATAGGTACTTGATGGTGGAGGGAATGCATAAGTAATATACATAATCTTTTATGTAATGACTTGATTGGAAACCTTGGGTATGGACATTAATCTTGATGCAAAAACACTAAAAAGATTCAAGTGTGCTAAAATACTCTCTTCGTCCCAAATCAACTGAGCCTCTAATGGATATAGCAGAAAATGTTCAATCTACTTACGCTCTAATCTGAATACTATGCCCTTAGAGATTATAACATGTTTTTCAGATGAGGCTGAACCAACGTAATATCAAATACATTTTAAAATTGCATTTCATGTTTAATCTTGAATTGATAGGAAAAAACACCCTGCAGAAAGCTGTCAGATTTTTTTATACTTTAATGCACAGTAATGGATGTGAAATATGGACATTGTCAGTAGTCAGTAGCCATACAGAGAAGCAATTAGAATATTTGAACGATACCAACAGAATCTTTTCCCATGTAATGTGTGTTTTTCAGGAAACGACGAGGAGCCATCAACAGTAAACAGCTCACCTATTTGGAGAAATATCGATCGAAGCACAGACTGCGTTTCAAAGACTCTCACACGCACAAGAACAAATGTTGCACCATGTAAACACACACACAGTCATACAAACTCATGCATACATGTTATACACCTCAGCTAAAGTCTCAGGAATCTTGACATAATTGGAAAACTCATTTGTTTTTGGGACAAACCAATGACATATTGGCCATTTGGCCATTCTCGGAATGTCAACAGTTTCTTAAATCTAATTTAATTTCTCGTCTTTCAAAGATGATTTGATGGCATTTTTGCTTCAACATACTCATTGGAGCAAAAAGGCAGAACACAGAGGTTAGGTTTCAGTTAAATGTTGTGTGATGAAAAATCTATTAAGGCTTCTCTCACCCATTCAGACATTCAAAATCTTAATTTTTGTGATTTTTGGCTGGTCCTCAAACCTAATGAATTTAATATTTTCAAACTGGCAACACATCACATAAACAGTAATTACTTTATGTACAGTAATTTGTTTATGTATTTATTTTTATGTCATAGACAGAGACACTGTCTAAAAAAAAATGTGTTGAGATAAAAAAATATATATTTTGTGAATCCGAAACAAATTTTGGTTTTAAAAATTTTAATATTTGTGCAGAACTACAAGAAATATGCAATATACATCATACTTTGTTGGAATATATTGCACATTTTTCCTGAATAATGCATGTAAACACCTGCTTCTCGCACTTAATGTAAGAAAAAAAAGCTTTTAGTTGACAATAGGGAGTGCAGTATTTAAGTTTTATTAGATTGCTTTGGTGGTCTCATGTAAAAATAATCTATAGCTTGAATCTAAACCTGTGAGGAAACATACAAGACAAAGGAATGTAATGTCGAGGTTAAGAAGAATAAGATTAAGTGCAGGTGAAAGAACATTATTCATATGATGTGTGTGCATGTGTTTGTTTGAGTGTGTGTGAGACTACTTGTCTTTAGATTTGGTTCATTGTTAGGCACCGTCATAAACTGACATTTTTTTATGTAAAAAAAAGCTGTAAATGTATGTAAGTCTGTACATTTTTGCATTGTTTAATAAAGGTTTCATCAACATGCTTTCAACATATCCTATGTATATTTTTTTATTTGCACCTTTCTGAGTTCAGTTTCAGTCATGTCACTTAATAGAGTATATGATTTATAACACATTATTTTAAGATATTAATATATATATGGAAATTAAAACAGCACACACACTATCAACAAACCAAAACTAAGGAGTAATTATTAAACTACATTATCTAATCACAAATCTACATATTGCATATTTACATGACCAACATGACCAAAAGTATTTGACGGATAGTATAAAAACTTTTCTTAAGTGTGTCTTGAATTATTTTTGTAATTGAATAGCTGCCTGGATTATTACAGTATTGCAGTGTTTGTATTTTCGCGGCCCTCCCACCACCAGAGGCGCTGTCGTCTCCCGGGTCAATGGCTGGGTCCGATCTACTTCCGCTATCCGGGTGGACTCGTGTCGCAGATTCGACAGAAATTCCTGCGTTTGTAAAGTAAAACTAAGCTTTAAATCTTGATTTAGCGATTAATTGTGACTGCATGATTGCTAATGACAACTGAGAGAATAGATCGGGTTTTTAGATGGGGGAAAACATGGATGAACTAAAAACAGGTGAGAATTTTGGCTAACTTTAACTCGAATATGTTTATCGGGTCCTCATTTTGTCTCAGGCCCAATTATAACAAACCAATGGAATCACATTTAAAACCAATTAACGCTTTGTGCTTATTGTTACGTTTAAAGTGCTAGCTGTTTGTTATCTAGTTTTAAAAGTTATGCAAAGAACGTTAACAGATAGTAAACATTATTCAGCGAACTCAGCCAAACGATTGGGAGGATTTTCATTTTTATTTATTACTAAAAAAAGTATTTAACAGTTTGGTGATAGCGTTTTAAGACATATACTGTACGTACTTGAATAGTGCCCTGGCCTCCACAGCTGCTACTTTTCTTTTCCTCGTCTTTCCAGCTGGTTCTGTGTTCATGTGTCGGCTGTGCAACCTGTTTTCTCCGATTCGTTCTCAACTACTGGCCCATTGTTCGAAGCTGCACAGCCAACATGAGCCCCCAGATGACATCATTATTGCGTTGCAGCCCCTTGGAACACAGCCTGGTGAAAAGCAGGGAGGTGAGAGTCCCTAAATAAGAAACGCCGCTTAGTCCTGTTCAAGGATAGATTTCATTTTAATATTGGATGATTTTAATGTTTTGTCTAAGACCCTAAAATTAATCGCATTTAGTGGTTTATCAGATGCAAAACAAATACAAAAAGCTAGATTCAACAGTACCACCGTCTTGATTATTTCACTGTTTTATTGATTTACAGAAACCCCCTTGAAACGAAAACGAGGACGGCCGAAGGGCTCTACAAAGAAGGCATGTGTGGCTGGCATGGCTGCTACGCCCTGTTCTCCTGAGGAGCATCTTAAAGGAGAAATAAAGAAAAAGGACGCAGATCTCAGTAACTCAGCCCAAGGTACAATACTTGGCATGTAAATGTCATCCATAATGAAATCTTTCTTTAATTTGCCTACAAAAAAGTTTACTTGATTCTTCTTAAAACGGTTAGCACATGTTACTTGCAGCACTTTTGGCAGCTTTGCACACTTTTTATAGTTGATAACAGAGTTTTTCTTTATCTTCCTTGAAATTTTGTGTTGACGTTCATCCTAGAGCCTATTTTTTCTAAAGCCATTTCAAATTATTTATCATATCAGTCCATTCAAGAAAGTGTGAACAATTGCATTCTGACTCAGCTGTTGTTTTCCTTTGGTGAGGAGACAGTCAAGAGGAGATCTTAGGGCTGGAGTGCAGGGACTGCCATCGCTCATTCCGCAACAGACGACAGATCCTTAAACACATCTGCCTGAGGGAAGAGGATGACGATGAGGATGACACAGGTCAGGAGAACTAAGGCTGACTTGTTGAGCTGTCATCAGTGTGCAGTCAATATGTGAAATTAATTATGCTACTGAGCAGGCATTTGTGGTTAAGTTTCAATGTATGTACGAGACATACAGTATATATACAATGATCAATTATTTTAGGGAGCATCTCTGGTGGGAAAAAAGGTGAAGGCTCTGGCAATCTGGATTGTACAGATTTAAGCCAATCAAAGCAAAACCCAACAAGATGTAGACTCAAGGGAGAAAAGGGTAAGTTTAAGATCTGCTGGAAACCTCTTATAATTAATTCTTTCTTCATTAATCTGCACTAAATACAGTCTCCCCTTTGTATAAAGATATGAGCAACTTCAGACCTCCAAGATACAACCGAAGTCAGGCATCGACTGAAGGAGGTCGAACAGCGGGGCAGAAAAAAAAAGTCATCAGTGTTGTTCTGACAGAGGATGAAACACTTCCTGGTCAGTCTAAAAGAGATATCTGTGTTAGTTCTTACAATAAGTAAATTAAAGCACATTTGCTTATATGTTTATTTGATTCATCAGGTGTTTCTCAAATGGTTCCAGTGGAGGATAATTCTGCATTACCAAAGCCTGCAGCTGTCCAAGCTCAACCTCAGGTGAACAAAGACTGATGCTGAGCATTTTATACAGCCAACTTCTAATATGTCTTTTGTACTATTGACTTTTAGTGACATTAAGCTGCATATAAACTGTAATCTGATTGACCTAAATCATTTTAAATACATTACTGATCCAGTTTTGCTCTCATTGGGTTTGCATGATCTCAAAATGATCTGTTCAGGTGATTTTTATTAATAAAGTCTGATTTAATTTCTGGATATTTAGCACCTTGCCAGTGAAAATAGCACAACAACAGACCAGGAACAAAGGTAGAAAAACAGAAATTATTCTTCTCTTTTATGATTATTTGGTATCATGTCATGTTCATATAAATCTAATAGTCTTACTAAATGTTATGTTTAAGAAACAAACATTGAAGCAATTGTGATCCTTTCAGTTTGTTGATCATCTGATCCTTGTGTTTTCTGGTGCTAGCTCCAAGCAGACCTCTGCTTCAACAGCAACTATCAGCAAAGGCTTCCAGGAATATTCCATCAAGCAGGAAGCTCCCAAGTACAAGCTAAATTCTCTCTTAGTCATTTGAATGTTGGTAGTGATATTGTCTGTGCACAATAGAGCCATCTCTTTTCTAACATTTAACAGTACCCGCCACTAAAATACCACAAAAAATAAAAAAGAAAGAAAAAGAATCAGCTGAACTTGTAAATTGACTATCTTCCTTTCTTATTTCCCAGTTTATTTCAGAGCCAGCTGAAGATCTTTGCCTGTGAATTTTGTAATAAGATTTTCAAGTTCAGACACTCGCTGGTTGCCCACCTCAGGACACACACCCAGGAAAAACCCTTTCAGTGTCCACACTGTGACTACGCGTCAGCCATCAAAGGTAAACCCTCAGGAGAACAAGGAACTCTTTTGTATTTAGGAGTATTGATGTTATGCTGTTTGGGAAATGTAAAGTTTCCAAATTATGAAATGATTATATCTTCTCCTTCAAGCCAACCTGAATGTTCATGTGAGGAAGCACACAGGAGAGAAGTTCAGCTGTCAGCACTGTCCCTTCAGCTGCCTCAGCCCAGGGCACCTGAAGGTATGTAACTCTTCATCTTTCATTTGCATTTAATCATTTCAGCTGGAGACATTTTTTCAGTGTAGCTGTAAAGTTTGTAACTCTGTCTTTCTGGTAATGCAGGTCCACATAGAGCGAGTCCATCTGAAGAAGAAGCAGCACTGCAGCTTCTGTGACAAAAAGTACTCTGATGTGAAGAATTTACTGAAACATATGGAGAAACAACATAACCTGAAAGATCCAACTGTCTACCAGGACTACCAGCAGCTGAGGTTTGACCCACAGCAGCCACTCTGTGAGGCTCACTCCTGTGAGAGGACATGAGAGAAAGGAGATAAAACACACGTGTACACTCAACAGATTAGACATGACTTTGATTTCACATACAGACACAACATTAGTGTAATTTAGATTAAAAGGTTAATTGTTTTTTCTCTCCGTATCTGACTCATACATGAATGATTTCCGTAAAAGTGTCTATGGGACTAGCTAATGGCTCACTGTCTAAAAGATTTTGTTGAAACTCGCAACTCACATGGCTGTCTTTATTTACTGACCCAGGTTAAAGACACGGCAGGGCCTCAGGCAGCTGCTGTACCGCTGCTCCACCTGTAACCGGCGCTTCAAGAACCAGTTGGAGCGGGAGCGCCACCTGTTGATCCACGGGCCTCAGCGCCCCTTCGCCTGCCTTCTCTGTGACCACGCTGCAACCAGGATGGCTGCCCTCACTGCCCACGTCAGGAAGCACCTCTTCCTCTACATATGCCGTGTCTGCAATGAGAAGTTCGTCAGCTCTCAGAGGCTGAAGAGTCACCTGGAAGAGTCTCATCCTGATCTGGACCAAGAGCAGGCCTTCACCGACTGCATCAACACCAGCTACTACCTAATTCCACCCGAGGGAGGCGGAGGGGGCGAGGACACAGAGGGAGGAGCGGCGAAAGAGCTCAGCACAGTCCAGAAAGGTGGAAATGACCAGATGGGTAAGGAAGATGGAAGAAATGGTGCTGAAGCGGAAGAGCAGCGAAACGGGAGTGAGGGGAGAGAGGAAGAACGAGCTACACCAAACAAAAGAAATGGAGAAGCTGAAGGAAAGCTATGTAAAGGAGTTACTCAGCGAGGTGCCAAAGCCAGAGGTGATGAAGCAGGCGATGAAGAGAGGTCACACAAAACACCTGCATGCACTGCTGCAGCCGAAAGAACGACAGAGGACGTTCACACCCCACTGTTGGACAACAGGATTCCACAAAACAAACACACTTATGCAGCCAGAAATACTCTCACATCCTCATCTGGAAACACAAACACACACTCATCTTCGTGTCCTCAGGTGGAAAGTAGCCAAACTCCCCCCTCAGAGAAGGTAAATTTAGTCAATTAAGTTAGATTAGTAGAATTTGTTTTATGTGTTCAACCAGTAATCAACAGCCTCTATGAATTCATTGACTTTCATAGAAGAGTGCTTCTTCCAGCACGCAGACTTTTCTTTCAGACTGCACTCATATATTAATTTGTTTGAGGTGTCCTGTTTTTCTCTTTTCTCGGTGGGTGGTGTGGGCTTTCCAGCCGAGTGCATTCCAGCAGGTGTTTTCATCTGTTCAGAAGACTCAACTTGATGTGGAAACTTTCCAAAGGCTCAGAAAAATTTATGGAGACCTTGAATGTCAATACTGTGGTGAGATGATGCCCCTTTTGTACATTGGCTTTGGGTTTTTAATGTTTTTTGGGTTTCTGTAACTTCTTTTCAGTGCAAGTGTTAGCCGCTTCTTATCATATTTCTTTGCTTCCCAGGTAAACTGTTCTGGTATAAAGTCCATTATAATGTCCATGTACGCACACACACCAAGGAACACCTGCATTACTGTTCAAAGTGCAGCTATTCCTCCATCACAAAAAGCTCTTTAAAGCGGCACCAGATCCAGAAGCACAGCGGCCTGCTGCTGCCCTGCTCCAGTGCCGGCTGTAAATACTCCACACCTGACAAATACAAGCTTCAGGCCCATATGAAGACACACCATGAGCAGGTAACCTGTCTGAGAACATATAAAATTTTACAGGTCTGCTATATTTGCACCGTTTCATTTTTGCTGTAATACACTATATTTGTCAAGCATGCCACTTAAAAGGGTATCTGAGTGTCTTTATGTAAAAAGAGCACCTTCAAAGTGGAGTGTCAGGACTTATGCTTATGCTGTATATTCCGTTTTCCTGTTGACTTCTTCAGGGTAGCAGTGTGACCTGTCCAGTGTGCCAGCAGAGTTATCCAGAGCACAGACTAAAAAGCCACATTAAGTCATCCCACCCCGGTAAAGGAAGACCTTTTTAGTTTGTTTTTAAATCTGCTCTCCGTGATTCTGTTCAGTTTGTTTGCATAAATGTTTTTTGGACAGACAAACTGCCTGTGCGAGGTAAAGGACTGATGGTGCAGCGTGCTGAGAAGTGCCCTTACTGTGACTCGTACTTCCTTAAGAACAGCAGTGACTTTCAGCAGCATATCTGGGCCCACCAAGGTGTGATTTCACACTGCTGCTGACACAGACAAGCACACGCTCACAGCACGGGGGCTACCCTTCTGCCTGGAGACTGACTTTCTCATTACTTTGGTAGCTTAGTATCCATCTGTCTCTTCCTCCTGCTGGCTGCCCTCTAGGGGAAGGACAGGAATATCACACACATGTGGGTGTTCTAGGAACATGCAATTTAGTCATCCGATGTGATTCAGGGGTTTAAATGAATGTTTTGCTGTTCTGGTAGTTTCTTCCTCTCCTACACACATTGCAACACCATTTTTGCTCTTCCACATTTATCCTACTGTGACCTCACAGAGTGGTTTTACTCACCCTGTGCTGCAGCAGCTCTGCAGCACGGCATTTTGCCTTTATGTCGCCCCATGTTACTTCTTTTCCTTGATGAGTTGTTTACCTTGAAGTTACAGCCATGCTGTGGTTGAGATATCACAGCTCAGCGCAGATGTTGATGAAGGATTCAGAGAACAGACATCTCATTCATTTCCCCAGTGCTGCTTTATTGTGGTGCTTATAGCCCATAGCAGCTGTTGTCTTGCTCATACATACCTATATTTCAGCAATCCATAGAGAAGCTCGTCATTTTATATTAAAGTATCTGCCATCGATTAACTTAATTTAGAAAACGGCATCATAGAATTAAATTGTCAGACTGTCAACTGTTTATCCTTTTATTTCTGCACAGTGGAAACAGAGCTGTCTCTGCCAAACTGCTGGTGATGTGTTTGATCTGAATGTGTTCGTGGCAGGTTTGAAGCCGTATGTCTGCAGTGTTTGTGATTACACAAGCCGCAGCCGAAGCAACCTGAAGACTCACATGAACCGGCACAACGTAGAGAAACATCACCTCTGTGATCTGTGTGGTAAAAAGTTCAAATCTAAACTGACGCTGAAAAGCCACAGACTGAGTCACACAGGCGAAGGTACGTCAAAGGCTGCTTAAGACTTGAATTCCAGATGACTGACATAACAAGGATAAACACTGAGGTCTTCGTTTCTATCCAGGGAAGCGCTTTCAGTGTTCAGTGTGTGACTTCTCATCAGTCTTTAAACCCTCCCTGCTCAGACACATGGAGCAGCATGCTAAGTTTAAGGTCAGAGGATGCACTTGCAAAGAGTTTCAGTGTTTATGATTTTACTTTGCAATGTTTGACTAATACATGAATTCTCCACAAAGGGAAATTTGTAGAAACTCTAAGCATAAATTCTTAACGTTGGTGATATTTTACAGTTCAAACCATTATGAATTAGATTAGTCTGGTTTGTACTGTAAGCAATTGAACTGCAGCCCACACTTTCTGCTGTTTCAAAAGGTAAGGTAAGTTTTCCTCCTACACCGTGTGCATTAAATCGGCATTCTCTTTGTGTGTGTGTTTTTAAAGCCATATCGTTGTGCTCACTGCCACTACTCCTGTAACATCGCTGGTGCCCTGAAGCGACACTACAACATGAAGCACCCGGATCAGACATACGAGAATGCTGGACCCGGACAGCCTAACTCTGACACACTCAAACAGCAAGGTCATTGTTCAATTGGGAATATGAATTTGTTCATCATCAAGTTTAGCTTGCAGTGATAATGTGACACAGTAGCTTTTGTGTGCTTGTGTTTAGGTGGTATAAAGTGCCCAGAGTGTGACTTTGTTTATGGAACAAAGTGGGAACTGAACCGTCACCTGAAGAGCAAACACACTCTGAAAGTGGTAGAAGGGTCGTGGGAGGTGAGTAGTGCACAAATATAGGAAAAAAGACAACTTCCCCACGAAGTCATCATTAGAGAGAAGTTTTATTTGTGCAAGACAGGTTTATTATGGTTTCTCTGCTGTATTTGTGAATATGTAGGTGGCTGAGGAAGTGGAGACCCAGTGTGTATCTTTGGAGGATGAAGAGCACCTGACAGAAGCCCCTCTGGCCATCATTGACGACAACGGTAACAGCTTTAATTAATCAATCATTTTGGAATCATGGCTTGGATGAACAGGGGAATACTCATGGTGGCTGGCCCTATTCATTGTTATTCCATGTGTGCAATACACTAATCGTGTCTCTCATCTCTTCAGTTAATATCCAGCAGATCTCTGAATTCAGCTCGGAGACGCAGGATGCAGTCACCTCTATGGTTGCCATGGCCCCAGGCTCTGTGACTGTTGTACAGCAGGTACACAGCATCATGTCACCTTCTCAGAAACTGATGAGTGATTGGCAAAATATTAATGCTGAACTGTGATTGAAGTTGAAGGTGGCTGAGGAGCAGGAAGCAGGCGACTGCGGCGAGCAACTGATGGTGGTGAATGCAGACGGCACTTTGGATGCTAACCAAGTGATGGTGGTTGAGGAGGCGCACGGCCTGGAGACTTTGACAGTCCTTACTCAGGGAGAAAACATGCACCACTATATCGTCTATGTCCAAGAACAAACGGTTGAGATCAATTAGGTATAACATTGTTTCTACATCATGCCCCCATAATAAATAAAATCATGATTTACTGTATGTTCACTCATCATCAGGATTCTAATTTATCTGATTTAAGTTCTACTCACTTAGAAATTATGTCAAGACAGAGTGCAAAAATGAGTGGTGTTATATTTTGTGGTATATTTTGCACATAGTGTATCAAATAAAATATTGTTTCTACAAAATTAAATGAATTGTAGTGGCGTCATGTGCCAATATTGAAAGGATTTTTTTCTGATGAAATCCAGAAAGTTTAAACTATTAAAAGTGTATAAAAGTTTTAACCAGACTTTTGAGTTTTTGTAACAACTGTCACTCGTGACAAAGAAGGGAAATGCCAAAAAGCCAAGCTTGTTAAACATGTAATAATGTGTTAATGTATTGTACAACTGTCTAATCTAACAAACACAATTACATATTAATGAAAAATTGTTTAATCCTAATGATGTAATCAGATATACAAGAGTTTATAGTAAATCATATAACATTTGGAATTATTTGGTAAGATTTGATTACAATGATACAGGGTACAGCATTGCATTTTTTTTCACAAATGTAGAACACACAAGAGACACGAGTAGTTTGTGCAAATGCCTACACAAATCTTTGACAACTCTAGACAGAAATTAGGAGAAAAAATTATTTCCTTAAGAATAAGTTTGAAAAGTTCAATTTAAGTTTTGTAAAGTTTTCTACAAGACGTTTCGCCTCTCATCAAAGAATATTCTTGGAAGAAGCTTGACCATGACCCGGATGAATGACAATCTTCACAGATATGTTACTTTAACAGTAGTAAAAGGGACGCTCTGAAAGTGTTAGCCTTTAGCTTTTATTAGAGAGCATTATTACTCATGTTGGATTTTGATATGAATAAAAAATATCCAGATCAAATTATTTTTTGCCTAAATTACTACAATTATATTGTGTCACCACAACTATTTCACTTAAACGTTTGTTTACCCACTGAGGTATTTCCTTAGAGCCACTTCCAGACATATGTGGTAGTTCAGACCAGGTCCTGTAGATGGCGGTGGTGTGTTCTGTGTTCCTTGGCATTGACGTTCTTTATATCCTACTTTGCATAGAAGAAGAAAAGGTGGGAAATTTGACGTCGCGGGAAAGGCTGCTGTTAGTAATTAAAAACATTAATCCAGCAGTTACACATGTTTAGAAGAGATGGACAGATACGTGTTGGTTCTATCATTTTGCCAAACTTCTGACTACCGGAGGGGAGACTGTGAATGTAAGTTGTCATTTGAAACTTAAAACTTTGGCTGATATTAGCGCTGCAAAGCCAAATTGTGTTTTTGCGTTAATTTTAGACTTTGTGTTACTTTGTGCGATACTTAACGCCATACTTGCTTCTTTATTATTCTTTGGAATAAATGGGTATAAGAATTATTCACTCGTGTGTTACACTTCTGCGTCCGAAGTGCTAAATGTACGTGTTAAATTTGGCTTCAATTTGAACAATGTAAACTATCACTTTGCACGTTGTGTTGCCATCTGTTAGAACGTTGCTGGCTGAAATATTTCACCATGTTACGTTACACCACTCACAACTGCAATCGCACACTTTAGTGTAAACAAATCTACAGTTTCAAGTGATATAATTGGGACTATTCAAATGCAGAGGTTTCCTATTCCATCAAATCAAAGTATTTGTAGCTGACCATTCTAATCTCTGAAACCAGTGAAACGGTTGTTGGATGTTAAAAGACTCATAGATGAAAGAAACGTATTCATTTTCTGAATTGCTGTAAGACAAAAAGCTTTTTTCTTAAAACTATATTTATGTCTTAAATTAATCAAGTATATGGTTGTTAGGAAACTTAACAATGTTCCATCACTTTATAGGTCTGGAGCCTTTAAAAAAAATACATGAAAAACTTGTTGACATCTCAACCCAGGACTCGGTGAGAGGGATCTCTGTGTTTCCAGGTAAGTGAACTACAATGTGGACACTTTGTATTCAGACAAATGTAAATGTTCCTCCGTATATTTTTCTGTACTCACTCTTACTTCTTTCTATCCCAGCTTGCTCTCTTAGTGGAAACCCATCTCCTCCAAGGAGGTACATTGCTTTTCAGGTTTGCCATGGTGGGACACAGGTGAGCTTTGAAGACCGCTTTCAATAGATGTGAATTCAGGCTTTTAAAATATTATATGTTGATAAAGAAAAGACATGTGGTTTTGTAGTTTTGCTGTTCCGATTGGGACGAGTTGGATCCAAACCATCATAAAGTCGATGGTGAGGAGGAGAAACCTTCTGCACTTGAAGCGTGTTTAGCGTCACTGCATAACCAGGAGGACGAGGACCAAAATGATGACCAGCCCACACTGACTGAGTCAGTACCTCTTATGGTTTTCATGTTAGCTACATGTAACATTTGCAAGGATCTTTTTTTTTTAATATAGCCACATAATGACTTAATTAACTAAAAATATTCATCCAGCTTTTTTGTAATCCTTCTACAGTTTAATCAAGACCTTTACAGAAGATATATTTGTTTTTGTACAAGTTCAAAGAAACAAAGTGGGACGCAATATTTTTTGCTTTTGGTTTTTTGTGAAACAGGCTACTGGAGGAAGCTGCTGAAGGACTTCACCTGCTGTCAGACAAGCTGCCACCTCCAGGTATAGATGACCCATCCAGAGTTGCTACTTCATTACTGTCATACGCTCACAACTATTCACTAAATTCACTGCCCTCACTGTGGCCTAATTCTATTTTCAAAACAGTTTTATGTTAAAATGATCTCTATTCTATGTCTCCCAATTGACTTTTCCAAAATGAGCAACAGGGTTTTTATTTTAGAAAAACAATATGAATACTTTAGAGCTCTGTCAATACAACAAATTAAGAGAGATTTTCACAGAGGACAACTATTTGACTACGTTAAAAATATCTAGTCCGGTTTAAGTTCAGCATTAAGTTTCTCCTTTTTGCTATGCACAAAATGTTGTCTATTGTACCGTGCTGCTTACGTGTTCTAAATTCTTTGCACTGTTCCTGAAGAGATTACGGTAGCTTTTGTCTGGAGCTGTGTTCAATTCTGGTATCGGTTGTCCCTTGTCTCCTTCTCAGGTAAAGCTCTACTGGACATCCTGGTGCTGGGTTCTTCCAAGCAGTCTCCACCTATCAAAGACCTTCTGCCTCTGCTGGGAGCCCTTAAACACATGTCCTGCTGGCATGCTGCCAAGATCAGTGTAATCACACTGCACGCTGCTGGGTGAGGACTCAAGAAATGCACATCCATTCGACCTTTTCTCTTCCACGATATTGCGCTCCAAAGATGAAAATGATCCAGTGTACCACAAGGGGGCGTTAGATAAATAGACATGAGCAGCGTTGACTTCTTTTAAGGCATGAATTGTTAATCAAATACTTGTATAAAAGCCTAAGTATTGGCAAATACCAAGACACTCCAACTTGACAACTTGCTTGACAAATGTTTGTTTTTTCAGCTGGCAGATACCAGCAGCCTCTCTGGGAGCTGGTCTGGTTGAACCTGCTGATTTATTCAGCTGTCTCAACCCCAAGGAAATATGGAGGGGAAGTCTGGTTATCAGAGAGAAGAAGGTAAGGATTGGGGTATAATGACACCCATGTTTATAAAGTGACTAAGACATCAGTGGAGGAAAAGTAAATAAGTAAATCTGGAGAGAGGATTGCTAGCTGCACATGGCTCACTATAAAACAAACAAAAAATTTGTATGCAGGAAGAGATTTCTGAAGATATTTGACCATCTCAGCTTCAGCAGAACGTTTTGGATTACTTATTCAGCATTTTCTCTCTGCACTTTTTATTAGAACTGGAGGAGGCATATACAAACATAAATAAAGAATCCACTCTCTACCTCTGTGTGCCCAGTGTTATTGTGCTAATATTGTATTTTTTAAGTAATTATCCAGAAAAATACAGTACAGATATTGTGAGATTGTGAGAGGAAAGGCTTCCAGTGTGTTAGTCTGACTGTGCTTGTACTTTCCGGTCAGTCCTGCAGAAGCACTGAAGTGCTTTGTTGCCATCAGCAGCATCCGTATGTGACTTAGGACACAGCTGGTTTTTCTGTGAAAGGCTGCACAGTTAATGTTAATTTCAATTAATATAGAGCAGAGGTACTTTTTAAAAGCAGGGAGTAAAAAGGCTGTGCTTTTCATCAGGTCTGATTGGGTAAAATGTGTCTAAACTAGGGTCAATCTGGGTTTGTAGACTTAATTCCCTCCTTAATTTTTGTTTTCACACAAAGTGCACACGAGGCCATTGGGTATATGTTTATGCACGTATTTCACATTTTAATGTAGGTGAATCAGTAAGGACAAGCCTTTCTCTTCAGCCAAATTCATCTGAAAGAGTCAGTTCAGGCTATAGAAGGGTCATGGGAAAAATCTCTTGTCTCACCAGTACTGCGCTGCCTGTTCTTTTGTAGCCTGCTCTCACGCGGCGTCTCTGCCCGAAAACGCTACAGAGTCTTGTCAATGTCAAACGTCAGTGAAGGTCGGAACAATTGGCTTCTGTGCTCAGTTCATAGCTCCTGTTGTTCATGACAAGCAGACATACTGTTTTCGTATATGTTTTAAGGAACTCCATGCGTAAACATCAAAAAGAAGATTGGTCATCTGGTCACTCCAGGTGGCTCAGTGCTCTCCCCTTTCTGCTCCACATGCTTAGATATGACTATTCTCTGATGGGAAGTATGTAAGAGATGGCCTTCTTAAAACTTGACTGGAACTTGAACTTCTAAGCACCCTTACCTTAGCCTCAACAGATTGTCTCCTTGTAGCTGAAAATAATACAATTCTGTAACCCAATGATAAAAAATATTGTAAAAAGTCTTCTCGGATTAGAAAAAACATGTTACGCATCTCGCTGCAGTCTCTGAGTTTAATTTTACTTGACACTTTTTCTGCAATCTTGTTGAAAAGGAAAGAGATATATTTCTGTTGTTGTAGCAACATTATTTCCTGACTGTCAATAGTTATCAGTGGGCTAATAAACATTCATCAGGTCATTTCTGAAAACTTATGTTAAATTGAACAAATAATAATTTTTATCTAACGTTTAACGTTTTTATCTACACCTTCGGCTTTCAGCTGGAGGGGTAGTGAAGGAAATTCTTGTTCATTCTTATCCGAAACTGCATACAGTTTGAAAGGAAAGTTGGCAAATTGACTGTTCATTATATCTTCCATTTTCTGTATAAGTGACACTGTGGTATCATCTTAAAGTGTTTTACTCCGTTTAGTTGTTTGTATTACAGCAAGCTGTAAAATAATTTTTTACTTCGATCATTCCTCATCTTTCCGTTGTGATGCTAGTAAGTTATGCCAATTCAAAACATGCTCCTTTCTTAAAGGGACATCTCCTGATAAAATGCCCTCATATGTAAGTGAGATATGAAAATTGCAGTTTATTGTCATATCCGTGTCATTTAGGGTGAGATCAAACTCTTTGTTTTTATGGCTTTGATTGACTGAGTGTGCAGGTCATTACTAAACTCATTTCCACTTTGCATCTCCCCTCAGTTTGTGTCAGAACTGCGCTTTGATGGCTTTTCTCTGCGCATTCCTGGGCATCAGATTCCAGAGTCCGGCCTAATACAGGCCTCTAACACCACCAAATATCACACACTACAATCAGAGGTAAGTATTTCAAAACCAGAATGTCCACATCAATTAACCCTTAATCTCACACTGATTTGAGAATGTGGTTATCCTCTCATGATCACATTTTAATCAGACTGAATCACCACTTTGTTTCATTCTGCAGTTCCAAAAGTTGACTTATTTCTTACTTTTCCACACTGGAAATAATAAGCTCTTATGCCAGCAGCAGCTGTTAAATAGTCTTTTGCCAGAGTGCTGTAGGGTCTGCTCTCAATCCAAGAATTGTCAGCGTTTAAAAATCTAACACACTTGAGTGGTTTTCCATTTCTTTAGCTCCAAAAGACTATAATGACAGTCTTCTGTCCATATGTGTGCCTTTAAACTCCAAGGAAGGTTTTGATTGACAGGATGAGGAGATAATGACGGAATTTTTATTTAGGGTAAAGCTGTTCCTTTGACCCCGGTTGGCCTCATTCTTACCTCCCAGCTATGAAGTTGAATGAGCTCCATGCCGCTCATCTCCTAATGATTTCTGTGTGCTGGAAGGAGATGAGGTCTAAATGGGCAGCTCCTGGTTGTCCTTTAATGATACTGTGGAACATGTGACCATCACTCAGATAAACCAAAAGCATTTTATCTTCCAAATGACTACTGACCCACTTTTAAGTCTCATGGCCTTTAATCCAGAAAATAGCTGTGCTAGAATATAGATTCAGGCCAGTGTTGAGGGGTTCCACTGAAGTGAGTCTTTAACTGTTCCATTGTTAGCGTTGTCATTTTTCCATCTATTCCATACTGTGAGTTAGCACAGATGACATTTTGTCTAAAAGAATTGCAGAGAACCTTCTTTGTAAAGATGCAGTCGTCTGACATTGATTTGCATTTATATGTAAAGAAATACTAATAGGTTTACCTCAACTCATAAATGACTAATTGAGTAAGAAATATTTTGCTAAATGAACAAGAAGAACTTTTTAACATTCAGTTAAATTTAGTTGTACTTGTACTGCACCAAATCACAAAACATGTCATCACTAGCCTCTTGAAAAATACATTCTAATTCAAACCAATTCAGCTGATTGTAATACATTAAAATCCATTCAGTTTACGTTTATTAAATTAAAAATACAATTCATAGAGAGCACACTGGAAAAAAAATTCCTGTTAAAGTAACCAGCGGATTGCACAAAATCCTCTCTTCAATCCAGTCCTCCATCATAAGCTGTGGAAAGTGGAAAGAAAGACTGTGGAAAGGGAAAAAAAACTCCCCTTTAAGGAAAAGCTGCATCGCTGGAGCAGTCCAGGCCTATGGCAGCACAACTATGGGATGTTTCAGAATCACCTCTGCCATCCCAATCTATAAGCATATATAAGCATGATAAATAAATACAAATACATTTGGCAATGAGTGTACCATATTGAGCTACTACATTAATGTAAAAGACAAATGCGCTGAACAGGCCCACTTTACAGCAGAGGTAATGTCAGAAATCATATGTGTATGTAGAGATGATTTTAATTGCCAAGATTCAGGTTATACACAGTAATAATAATCTATGTATATTTCTTCCTTTTTATGGAAAACAAGCACTATAGAGATACATGAGTTGGAGCTCTCGTTTTTTTTAAAGATGTTAAATTGTACAGAGAATGTACCACAGACATGATGGTATACTTTATAAATGTTATCATATTACATTGTAATAACTTCTACAATTTAGATTAATTGGCACAACGCATAACCCATGTTAGGGCGACCCTCACTTATCTATGACCCGATAAGGGCTTTGAACATACGTTCAATACACATTTAATGGGATTAGCATTAAAGTTAATTAAAAGTATTTTCAACAAATTGTAAGTGTTGTGTTTATCTGAATAACTCTGGTGTTTCTGCTCGTCACTTGGTTAAATAAGCTGCTCTACTTTGATTTCTTTGTGTTTTTCTCATTTGTCTATGGAGAATTAGACAAGGTGCAATTGCGTGAGATCTCATCAGATGTCTGTGCTGAGAAGCAGATGGCGATGATTGTTTTGGCATGCCACAAAAAGAAAAAACACACACAACAGCACAACTTGTAAAAATGACTCGCACACAAACACACACAAGCATTATTTGAACTGTGATTAGACAAACTGTTTGGCCTTTCATGATAATTATGAAGCTGTATGCTAACAGTCAATTTACAGCTCATGTTATCTAGCATGATAAACACGTTACAGTTTTAACTGTGACTGTTGCACAATGATATTCAATCTACACTTCTAGTTTAGAGAGAAATTGAGTTAGTAAATTACGATTTACTTTTCTATATGATATATGATACGATCTCTATATGATCTGTTGATTTTCGGGGAGGCTGAAATTGAGACATTTTATACCACAACAGTAGGGACGTTTGACATTTTTAAGGTTGTTAAATGTAAAAAATGTATCATTTCCACACATTCCATGACAGGAATAGTGAAATTGGTGCTAAAACAAGTCTGGACTTGTACTTCTATGTTGCTGTCTTACTCATTTAATATTTTATGGAGGTTGCTTATGTCTTCAAAACCTTTTCCATTATTTTAATTTGATTAGCCTGCGAGCTGCATATTGAGGGAGAAAATATGAATAGTAAATTTAGTCTCGGACAGATCCATCTGCCCAACAGCATATTCAAATGGTGACAGGTAATATTTCAAAGTGCTTTTTTTTTTAAAGGAGGCTCAACTCTGCTTGTCAAAAGAGTGAAATATTCTCACATAAAAAAAATATATTTGGAATTAAGAGTTGTTGAATTTATTTTATTTATTAATTTCGGTCCAGGTAGTCTGAGGGTACTTTATCTTATGTTTCCCCACTGGCAACATTGCAGTTTTGGTGGACATCTTTTCAAACTCCTGTCCAGCATACAAACCAAGACTTTACTGTTTGGGAATGCAGCAGGTGATGATGGCCTTTTTTTTTTTTTGGCTTACCAGCCGTCATGAACTCTGTGTGTTTGGCCAAAAGCAGCTGCAGACCAAGATGGCAGAGCAGCAATTTATTCATTGTTTAAGGAATGAACTGGTTTGGAAAGCTTTGTGAAATTAGAGATTCCCATAAAGAAGTGTAGTTGTTTTTGAGAGGTGTTCTTGGAATGTTGCTCTTGTAGAAGCTTAACTTTTGAAGGGGCTCAGTTACACAGCTTAAGGCCTAAAAGATTTGTACACAGGTCTTTGTGTGATATCTGTTCTGTTCTCTGTTTATAGACACCAGAGAAATGGAATGATCACTTAATTTTACAGCAATATTTTCAACTGTAATCTAATGGTATTTTGAACACTTCATACTGTAAAATGATCTTTTACAAAATATGGTTGAAGTTTTCAAAAGAAACCTGAAACTCTGAATATTGACTCTGGGTCGAACAAAGGCATAATGAACATATTCGACTTTCTCAAGAAACTGGAAATTTGACCAGAAGTCATTAATGAATTATTCTCCTGGATTAAGATTTTAGTGTTTAATAAATAACCTTAAATTTCCAGCTTTCTTGTATTTTTGAGTAATTCGGTGGTAAGCAATAATGGTTTTTTATGTTACCCATGAGTTATGTATGATGTTGCTCCATATTTAAGCCAGTTAGAAAGATAAGAATGTTTTCATTAAGAGTTTATTTAAAGCAGCCTGGATGTGCTTCAAACTTAAATTGGTGTTCCAGTCATAATTCTCATTTGGTGCAAAAGTGTTTTTTTAAATATACATATTCTAAAAACCATCTCTCTTTAATTGTTATTTTAGTTAGTATTCTACGACAGAAAACCTTGAATTAATCTCTCTTTTTTTTTCTGATAAATTATTTCAACATAAACAATAGCATGATGTTCTCTTTGATAATGTGGGTATTCTCAATGTTATTTTGTGTTTTTGCAGGTCTTCCATTACTACGCACCGGTTTTAGATTTGGTTCAGCTTGTTAATGTATCAGACGTGCCCAGCCTTCTGATGTCCACCATCCAGTTTGAACTGTATCCTTATTTTAAATGTGTCTGCTTACGGAAATGTGGGAAAAAGTCTATTAAAAATCTTTTTCTTTTTTGGGGGGGAAAAACTCTGCAATGCATGTAAGTTTTATCCAAGCGATAATTTCCAGCATTTCACAAGTACCAAAAGAACACATTAAAAAGCTTAAAACCTCTCAATCTCAATACTTTACGATTGCATGTAAACACTTTGGCTGTTACAGACACATAAAGTAGCTGAAACCTTTGGTATAAATCCTCATGTACAAACTTACAATTTTTCTACCTTTTTAAACAATCAGAATTCCCTTCCCATAGCAAAACAAATCTAATTTGATTAGTATTGTATTGACTATCAGGTGATAAATTCCACTCTTCACATATTTTTCCTTCAAAACTAACAACCAGATGTCTGTCGGGGAAGTCAGCCAAAGCTAAACTTCTTTTGGATCAACTGCGCTCCCTTCGTGGAAAGGTATCCGTTTCTGGCTGTGTTCTTTTAAATAACTTGTTATTTCCAGTTGAAAGAGTCATTTAAATGCATTTTAAGCGAGGGATTAAAACTCTACACCTGAAGAAGACATATGAGATTAACATTTTGTAACCCTTAGTGACGTATGTATCCCATATCTTTTCACAATACCTTTTTTTTTGGGAGATATTAAGGGGCAAAGTCAGTAGTTTTATCCTAAAGATAGCAGGTTTTACCTTTCACTTTTTCATGTCAGAACCTGAGAAAATGTTTTTGTGGACAGACTGTCAGACGGAGCCCATTATATGTTCTAAACCACACATTTGTGCAGAATTGGTCAATATTGCATGTCATTAAAGGACTTGAGGGTCTGTATGAATCCGTGTTCATCTGCTATGTTCTCGTCTCTAGGTTGGAGCTCTGTTCAGTCTGTCTTGTATAATCACTCCCATGGCGCAGCCCGCAGCCAGCCAACTCAGCTCTCAGCGCTGGAAAGAGTCTCTTTCCAGGACACCAAAGTCCTTGTTAGGTAAGTATTGAAGATTTTGTACCTGTTAGTCAATGACTGCTGATAACAGAAAGGAGCCATGCCATCTTCTGCAGAGAATTGAGAATATAATTAGGTCTTTTGTTTGGAATAAGATGCAACTGATTACCGAATGCTTGGTTAGATTTGGTTGTAAGTAAAAAAAGATAATACAGAGAGCATTAGATGTATTAAACACTTGGATGTCTAAAACATTATAAAAAAATGTGTGGAAAAAGTATTCTGGAAAATATGATGGATCAAAAGCATGACAGTTCTTGAGTAAACAATAGCAAAATTCCTCATTACTCATCCTCTCTGGTTCACCTGCAGTGCCTGATGTGGAGGTGAAAGGTGAGAGTGTGTCGTATTTCCTGTTGGTCCAGGGCTCAGACAATGTTGAGTCTGGAGCCTGCATGGTCCGGATGGTGCACTCAGTCAACCAAATTAATGGCGCGGCTGCCATGGCAACCGCCTCCAGCTTGCTTAGCAGGAAGTCTCCATCATCAGGTACATATTGTGGAAATGGCCGTGTCACTGTAAATGGTTTGTTGTCACATTTATTAACCGAAGTATTGTCGTAGTATAGATGTTTTCAAAGCGTTATAGTGTGTGTGTGTCTTTTGAAACCGTCACTTTGAGGAACACAGATCATTAAAAGGATGTTATGTTGGCTGTTAGCGGTTCCTGTTTGTGATGTATCCCTTCATATGAGAAGTATGCCTTAGCCCCAACAGGCAGGTCTGCAATCAGTGATGGATACATTTCAACCTCAGCCAGGGACAGTACTAGCTCCATTTGTGCCTCTGCTCTCCCTGTGGAGAGGGCTGCTTCTTAATTTGAAGACCTCAGTTACCCTCTACTCAAGTTTGAAGAACTTGTAGCTTTGTGAACTTCTAGTAGACATTTATTATTTTCTATATTGCAGGGAAAAGCCCTTCAAGTGCCCAGCACATCAGCTTGATTAGAGTAGAAGCCCCTTGGGCTTCATTGACTGAAATTGAGGGTTGTCAGTGTTCATCATGTTACTCTGTGTTGCAAAAACCGATGGTCTTCACTGCCAGCGACCATCCAGACTGAAGATTTTATTTTAATTAGACCTATGTAACCCTCTTTTTCTGTCTCCCTGTCTTCTTTCGATGTTCTTTTTCTCCTTCTCCCTCTGTTTTTCCTTTAATAATTTTCTTGTCTTGTACTCTATGATAAAAAAAAAAAATCTTTCAATGATCTTCTGCTGTGGATAAGGTGCAAGACCTATAATGATTTTTACTCCTGAGAGTGCTTCTTGTTGTTAAGGTTTCATGCAACCTTCAGGAGACATTTTTCTTTACTTTAGATACTTTTAAATGCAGAGTCAGACCATAAAAGATGCCCTATCTGCTTCAATGACACAGCAGAGCTTTCATTAAAATTCATTTTAAAATGCACGCAGGAGAGCTGTCGTGCCTCATCAAAATCATGATGCTAGAAATATGTTCATGGGAAAGGTTTAACGTAATTAATCTTACTTAACTTTGCTGCATTGCTGGAACAGTCATGCCTATTTTTTCTTTTGTTTGTTTTTTGTTTTTGAACTAATACAGCTAAAAAATATTCTGCCACCTTAAAATGAAGCTGACTACTTGTTACTCATTATCATACCATAGTTTTTATGTTATGGGTCATTTGAACCCTCAGGCCTGTTTTTTACACTGTTGATGGACTCTCTCTATTTGAAGGAAACCACCAAACCTTTAAACAAATCTGATTTGTGCTTTTCTCGTCACAGATCGTGAATGGGTTTTAAAACTTACATGTACACATTACATCGACTAAATCTTTCTTTCATTATTTGTTTGTCCTTGTTAAGATGTAGTTTTAGGTAAATCCCTGCATCCTCTGCCATGTTTCCAAGGAGACTGCCTCCTGAAGAGAGAAAGAAAGATGGCCCAGGTTCAGACACTTGTGCTCAAAGAATATCTTAGTAAGTACACCATTTAAAGGAAAAAACAGTGGAAAGAGCTTATCGGTGCAGAGTATCGCAGTTATGGCTAAGCAACTTGTTTTGCTCTATTGAATTCTGAAACAACTGTGTGCTAGTTTCAGTTTAGATCAGTGTTATCCAGCATCTCAGCACACTTTGGAATAAATTAGCTCTTTTTCCTGAGGAATCAGAATCAATCAGTTAATTCCAGATCCATGCACAATCCTTTGTATATTCTTTACCAAAATCTGGATTTCATTAATGGGATTCTGTGGCTGTTTTAGAATGATCATGAACTGCTATGTTTAATTAAGTGTTATTTGTAAGTGATGATAAAAATGTATTTGTAATTGTGGGGCAGATGTATCTCCTTTTAGTCCATTAAACATACTAAAAGAGATTACAAATGAATCACATAAAAGATAATTCGGCCAGCTGAGATCAGAATAAAACCCATTTAATGTTTCAGATGATGTGTATAAAAAAACGGAAGAAAGAAATTACATGGACACAAAGCCAAGCAGTGGTAGGAATAAAAGCGAGCAAGAGCCGTTCAGCTAGAATCTTTATGATTTTATTAAGTATAATGGAGTGGTTCAAAACCAGTTGCTCATCCATCCATCCATTTTATATACACAACTGTCCCAGCTCTTATAGGCAAGAAGGGGAGTACACCCTGGACAGGTCACCAGTTCATCACAGGGACACACAGAGAAATAAGACGCACAACCATGCACACTCACACCCATTCCATTTGTGTCCATTTAAAATGCACAGTTTTGAATGGGCTGAGGAAGCTGCATTACTCAGAAAGAGCCCTTGCACACACGGGGAGATCATACTTCAGTGTGTCCAGTTAGTCTTTGAAAACAAGAAAAAAAAGATTGTAGCTTGAAACCATTTTTTCTAATGACCTAGCAACTATTCCAGCGTAGGGTCTGATTCCCCCCCCCCCCCCTTTAGATGAATTATAATGTCTTGATGTTGGAGTAGTTGGGATGTGAATCAACGATGCGAACAAATTTACCTCTGAAAAATAAAGCATCATTATCCTCTAAGAATTATTTCACGTGCTACCTTAGATAAATAATGGAAAATATAACTGCAGTTGATAATCTTGGATGATATTATAGACCTAATGTTATAGGCCTTAAAGGTGTTACTGTGACGTCCACTCAGAACTTCATGAACTGTCGAGACATTTCAGCTCTCTGCAGCCCCATTATTTTACAGACACGCATAATGTCCCCTTGGCAGGCAAAGATACTGAAACACCAGTGGAGTGAAGCCAGATTAAAGGAAGTAGACTAAAATTCTTCATTCTTTAAGAAAAGCCATGGGGCTGTTATTTGAAAAGGCCATGAGCGGAGTTTAAAATTCTGACAGACTATGAGCCTTAATGAAATTCCTCTCAATTTATTCAGTCTTGGCATTAAATAGTGGAATGGCATGTCCGTGTAAGTTGCAAAAGTTTAGAGGTACTGCTGGAAGTTTAACTGATTAGAAAAGTGTATGTGTGCACACAGACAAACACTAGTCTGTCTTTAATCTCCTGCACCGCAATCACTCTGGTGTGCAGGCTGAAGCGTGTTACCAGAACTTATTTTATCATTCTCTCTCATTTTCTAATCCTTACTCAACTGCATTACCTCAAAAACCCAATTCTATCTGTGTCACTGTATTTCTTCATCTTGATAAACATATTGATTCACACGCATACATTGATCCATAAACTTTTTTATTCAAACCTTTTCAATTAAATGAAACTCTTGCATTATACTTTAGGATTTTGGTTTACTGAGGGAAGTTCTACATTTTTTTTCTCCTTGAGGCAAATTAAAGGAACACATTCCTATTTTCACGGCAATAATGCCAGTAATCTGCCAATAACATGTTAAAAACAGCACTTGTTCTAACTGTTATACGTTTCCCAATGAGTGCACGCTGAAGCTTACATGATAAAATTGTACCTTTGTGCAATCAGGACAGAAGGAAGAAGCCTCAGCCTCAAACTCAGTACCTGTAAGTGACTTGAAGGACATTTTGAATCTGGCCAGGGAGCAATATCTGAGGATGGTCGACACTGCTCCGCCCACTGACACCAACTGTCTGCTGACCCAGCAGCCACTGCAACGATCAGGTACGGAAGGAGAAGATCAGAGGAGTAGACACTGTAGAGGGCATATAGAGAGCTGGCATCTTCACAACACTGTGCCAAAATTCATGCAGGACAAAACAGAGGCTGATGTCTGTTTGTCCACTTCACCAAAATGCCTCATAAATCATTATTATTCCACAGCAGCACATCAGTATTCACTACATGTGCCCTCATGATATGACAGTTTTAGGAAACAATAACAGATAATGAATTGCAAATAAATTGTTAGTAATAAAACAAATTACAGGCAGCAGCCACAGCTATATGTGCACAAGGAAGGCAGTTCTACTTCCAAAAATATAGCTTTGGACTAATGGACCCACATGTCGAGCAGTTTGGTTTCATAAATGTTGTGTGGTTTGGACATTATTTTTTTGTTTTGAATGACTGCATCATTAAGTTTATTGTGCAATCATCAGTGGTTGTATATTAATTGTCTCAATAAGAGAAAGAACCTTTATTGCAAAAAATTGCAATAGTGCAGTGCCATCATCAGAAAATCTGCCACTTATCTAGTTAAAAAAACAGCCCCCAGCATGGACTTATGTTGTTTTGTGTCTCATCAGTTTCATATTCAGCGCTATTTATGTGCATTTGGCGGTTCCACGCCTAAAAGGAGGCACTTGAGCTCAGAAAAGATGTGAGCCAGAAAGCGTAAGAAGCGGAGGTGATGAGATAGAGAGCACATGTATAGGCAAGCAGTCTAAAGTGCAAATCAGCTTATGTTCCCTAATCCTTTCTCACCCTTTGTTCCATTAGATATGTGTTTTGCTTTTCTTTTTTGAAATTGCCTAAAGGTGTTAAGGGCTTCGTGTGGGCTGACAAATTCTGGCAGAGAGCATTACTATCTTCATACAAAAAGCTTGCATCCTTAGGCCATTTCTGTGTGCAGCCTCCTGTCGCCTGTAAATGTGCTGCATCTAGTTAGATTTCGGTCCAACTTTTGATAACATCTGATCTTCCTATCCAAGCACAAAAAAGTGCAGAGTATGGGATACTTTGGATGTTTCATCTATTCAGAGTCATGTCTCATAAGAGTTATGTCTGTTAACTTGCTTCGAATGATAGTTCCAATAACTTTTGGAATCTATCACGCTGTAGATGGTGTTTACATTATAAAACATGCTGAGAGTGGGCACGGTTACTTGGTTTGTTTCAGATGTATTTGCTTACTTTTGTTGTTGGAAAGCGCATGTGATCTGTGAAAGGTTTTTCTTATATACAATGTCACCTGTATAATTTCTTACTCATTCTTTCTGGCAGCCACGGCATTTCCTTTGAGAAGCCGTGAACGCTCATCCATCAGCATTTGAAAATGATGGATATCATCCATTTGTTCTTTTAAGCCATCAACTCCAGCGTGAAAAGCTTTTGAGCAGAGCAAAGATAAACACCACAGAGGCATCTGAGGTCAAGCTTTTATTTGGATTTTAGGCACATAGAGGTCTCACAGCTTAGTGTCCTGTTTAGGTGAAAGCTCATGGACATTTTAAATATACTTTGAAATGTGTTGCTGCACCACACTGCCTCAGTTCTAGTTGAAACAACCTAATTAATACGTTTTTTCTTGACTTTTCCCCTCTGTCTCATTTCTAAATGTTTCATGGCACTTGATATGCTCTCTGCAATTTTGTAATACTTCAGGAAAAAACGTCATTGTTTATATTTAAGGTTTTCAGCCCATTTGCCAGCAACCATCAGACTGGCCTGAGAGAAGCGTCCTGCTGAACATCGAAAACCTGCAGAGGAGACGACAAAAGAGAAGGTAAACAGGATTGTCACAGATTGGACATGTTTTACTCCAAAGAGCCAATCATTTTTGTTTTGCTTACTTTTCCTTTATCTTTCTTTTATATATTTAATTTTTCTTGTTTTCTTATGTCTTAGATTTGGTCTGTTAGGTCCAGGCTCTAGTGACAGTCTTCTGGGTCCAAAAGACAGTCAGAGAGGCTCCTCTTCTTTGCTAGACGCCAAAGAACTTCTAAAACATTTTACGTCTGATGGCTTGCCCACTGGGGATTTACAACCCCTGACTTTCAACAGAGGGTAAGTTCTGCAATGAGAGTTCTGGTAGCATCTCCCTAGGCTTTTTTAGCTGTGTTTTTACTGAATAAGTTCTAGTTTAGGCTTTTAAATCCGCCTTTGCTCAGGCTGATGGAACATTTTTTATTCATAAATGTACTCATGGATACTGTACCCAGATAAATGGCACGTGTGTAGTTGATATTGATTTATTGAGAAGCTTTGGCTGAGCCTATAATTAAGTTTTTATTAAGATAGCTACCCCTCTCTAATGTGTTTACTCCTTTTAGAGCAAGATTATTGAGATTGGGGACAGAACGCAGAGCATTAATCAATAAGGACTAATACAAATTTGGCCGGACAAATATTATGTTTAATAAAAAAACACCGCTGTCCCACTTCTTCTGACTCCCTCTATCTCCCATCTTTTGTCTGTTTTTTTTTTTATTTGTGTCCAGTAATAATGTGTTCCAGTTGTCTCCTGAGCTTTCTCCAAGAAGAATCAGTCAAATGACTTTCAGAAAGGCTTCAGCCTCACATTACCATGGCATAGAGTAAGTTTAAAAAAAAACTTTCACTTTACAAACAGCTGTGATACATTGAACATGACCAAAAAATGAAACTGCTTTTTGTTCTTTACGTTAAACAAAATCTGATTTTATTTGTATAGGTTCTGCCTGGATAACCAGCGATCTCTAGACCGAGACCAGGCCTTTGCACGGCTTCAGTCCCGTCTCATCCGCTATGAGACCCAGACCACCTGCTCCAAGGAGCCGTGTGTGCTCCCCTTTACACTCAGCCCCGCCCCCTCGCCTGCTGTGATGTCAGAGCCGGGAAGTGTGCCTGATGGAGAGACTCTACAGAACAATGATGTGGCACGGCTCAAGCGCAGGTCCTGGGAAACCGACTTGGCTGGAGCGTTTCCTCGCAAGAGGTATGACAACGTTTGTTTGTTTCAGTTAGTTATAAGATTATGTGTACTTGAAAGGATACTGCCAGGATGGGACAGATCTGGGGGACATTATCACTGTATTGTTCTTCATCTTAACCGTGTATGCTTTCATCTGTTTGTTTGAATGATCCAGGTTGGTGAAGTCAGAAAGCAGTGACTCCCTCTGTTCACAGAGCAGTGGCAGCAGTGGAACCCATCCCACCATTAGGACACTACGACAGCAACCGAGCAGATCTCAGTCTACCTCATCCTGCATTGGCACGTCCTCGGTCACGAGGCAGACCTCTGGTAAGAGCAAAAAAATGGATTTGAAACAATTGGACCTGCTGTTTGGAAAATTATGACAATCCTCTACACTTTCTGCAGAGCAACAATTCTTCAGTCTTGTCGTTACTGTATGTGTGCAGTGTGAGGAATGTAAGAAGATGTGAACAACACATTTAATCATGACATTTTAGACTTGCTTTCTCAGTTCTAAGAGGTGTAAATCTGAGCTGTGGGGTTTGAGCAAATGAGAAAAATCTGATTTCAGTTTGGTTTTGCTTTCATAAGTCTTTCCAACTTTTGTTTTAACTGCTTGACTTTTGCAAGTGTATAATAATGTTTTGCTCATTATTAATATACTTAACCTGCCTCTCCAGGTTTGGTGGCTCCACCCCGTCCTGAAAGAGCAAAACCTCAACAGCAGCAGTTGAACCATGGAAACACAGAGAAAGAGTCACGTTCCCAGAAACATAACAGGGTGGGTGATGTGTGCTTCCTCTGCTCTTCTAACAATATTCAATGCAATTAGGAATAGTATTGCATGAAATGTGTAATACAATCACAACACAAAATAAAGTTATCATCTCAGCATGTCAGTTACTCTTCTATATATGTGGAGTAGATTTACAGAAATCAACCTGTACAGTGGACTTATTACAAAAGAGGGTCTAGATATGAGTTAATCTAATGAGAACATAATCACACAGTGTCTTCAAAGGAGTAGCCTGCTTAACTTAAATGTTTGCATAGGTCTCCAAACTCATGCCAAAGGCTATCTTGTTTTTGTTCAGACGTATTAGACGTATTTCATTTTGTGATCACTATTGCCCTACTATGTCTCACACCATTCAGACTGTGTGGTTGAGTTAAAACACTGTAAAATACCTAAAACCATGTTAGTGCTTTGGTTTACTTCAAACTGAAAAGTGAATTTACCATATTAATTTGTTGGACTCTGAAACAAATTAACATCTGGCAATCCTGATACAGAACTAACGATATGAAATCTAAACAAATCTTCTTTTAGGCCATTTTCTCCTGTTTTTATTTTTATTTGGTCGGTTGAAGGTCACATGGTTGAGGCTAAGATATAATGCGGAATCAAGGATCTCCCTTATTGGTACTTCCCAATGAAAGATTATCTCATTTTGAACAATATCACATACTGAGTCCTAGATATCCACTATTCTTTTGCTTGACATTTACCTTTTTTTTTTTACTTAAAAAATTTAATAACAACACAACATACAGCTGTCGCAGTCTCAACCGACCCTACACACTGCCCAGTCAATCATTCTCCCTGCTACAGTTTTAGGATCATTCAACAGCTCAAGCAGAGATAAATATTTTATGTTTAGCCGGATCATTGTGAATATGTGTGCTGCATTGTAGTGTTGTGGCAGATCCACATTTACAGCCATCGTATCACCTGCTGCCTTCTGCCACACAGTGCTTTTAAACACAGACTTTTCTCATAAACTCTTCACACCCATACAAGGACACCCGCACACGCATATCTGCATGTTTTCTTCTGCTCCATGCATTGCTCATTCTCTGCATCCTGATCCTGACCTTGACTTGACTCTGATTTCTGATAGCTATTCATACATGCTTATCAACCAAACCTGGGCCCTTTTCAGAAATGATGATAACACTTTTTTCAGGACAGAGATTAAAAGTTGTCTTTCTACTCCTCCTGAGACTGAATGGCACTGATGATTTCTCACAATAATTCATGGCATTTTCTCAGAACTGTTGCCTTGACTAGATTAAAGGGAGATCTATTTATTTTGGGAATTTGTTTTCCCTGTTGACACTACCAGTGAATTATTTGTGTGTTTGTACCTGCAAATGCACGCTTTGAATGTAAAGGCATACATTTACACAAGAGTGTTCCCCAAAGTCAAGACACTCTGACACTCATTCCTCTTTAAAAAGAAAGCTCTGCTGAAATCAGTCCCTGTGAACCAATTTTACCATTTGGCAGTTAGGGAATAAACAGAGCTGCATCTTTCCACAGTTGTACTAATACAATACTCTGTGTGTGTGTGTCTGTGTTTTCTGCGTCCTCAGATGCTGCAGGAAGTAGTAGCCAAGACACTCAAACTCCATGGGATCACTGCAGAGCATGTATGCTTCGAGGCCTGCAGCAAAAGACTGTTTGACATCTCAAAGTTTTATCTCAAGGTTGGTTGTTTAACGTTTTTCTGTACAAAAAAGACTCTCTCTCTCTCTGTATGAATATATATATATATATGTACACACATCCTGAATGAAAGTCATTATTATTAATAAGAATAATTATTGTAATTTACTTTTACAAAAGAGCTGTTCATATACCAAATAAAAATGTTTTGTCTTTATTATTTCTAAATTTAGTGTCCCCTTATTAAGTGTAAGAAGCCTTGCTTAAACTGTAACTGTAAAGAAAACAACATACAACACTTTCAGAAACTCCTACAAAATATGTGTTTATTACGGGTTTCTTTACTCATATTGTAACCAATGTTTGATTGCAGGATCTGAAGACATCTCGAGGTCTGCATGATGAGATGAAAAAGGCAGCAAGCAGCAATGTTAAACAGGTAAAGTCACCAAATACCAGCTTTTCAATATGATTTGATTTGTTTCCCGATTTATTTATATTTTAAACTTTTTTTTCTGTTGTAGGTCATTGATTGGGTGCTGGAGAAGACCTCAAAGAATAAAAGATGATAATGAAGATTGGGAACGGGGAGGTGTTTTTTTAGTTTTTTTTTTTTAAGGGCTTTACCTCAAAGAGCAGCCTTTTTTTTATAATTTAACACATTTCTGTGTCTTTGATGTTTTAAACCTTTCTGATTAGTTTTAAATTGTTAGATTAGGAACCTTCTGATTAACTTAATCCTTTATTTGATTTAGTTTTTCATCCCCTTTCCAGGAGATCATATATCAGCCTACTAATTTAAGCCTGTTTGTGTGTGGTCATGTGCTCTGACATATTGTTATGCCCATTTCTTCAGGGCCTTAAAACAGAAGGAATGAAATCAAAATCAGCAGAACAGGCTGATCCGGCTTCAGTTGCTCAGAAGCCACAGGGGATGAGTTGTTCTCACTAGGCTGTAGTCCTCTCTTATTTCTAGCAATTTTCAAATGCGATTTTAAATTCTATATCAAATGTTAATTTTCATTCTAAATGCATGAATAATGTTTTGCTTTATAAATGTACATATTTTATTGTTGTATTTCATCATTTTTTGTGCATCACAATAAACTGATCTCTTTTTGAGGAAACGTGGCTGAAACTCTGCAGGGATTCTGCACGAGGGGAAAAATTGACCACATGTGTGTGCTGTGTTTAAGAAATATGTATTCTGTGATGACAACTGACAGCTAACAACCCAATCTGGTTGGTGGCTGTTATTCAGCGAATACAAAGCCCCGGAGCAGCAGATTATGCAGTGGTGATTATCACTGACAGAGTTGCTCCGTTTGTTAGTCACTAGTAGAGATGCATCCCAGATTCCTCCATCTTGAAACACAACACTTAACAGTCAGTGAGTATTGATGGTTTCCCAAAACATTTTGTCCTGTTTGCAAAGTCAACATGACCAACTGTTTTTATTCAGGTTTTTTAATAACATTGCATCGTTAAAGAAAATGGTTAGAAACTAACTCTTATGAAATGACTCGGTGTGCAGGTGCAGTGTGAGCTGGGCCGTGGATGAAGGTGGAGACACTGGTGGTCTAATTCTTGGCTGCAGAAACTAGCTCTCTGGTAAGGAGGAAGCTTGAGCTATTGCTTGAGGTTCAGTGGCACCTGCTATATATAATGGAGTCACAGCCTGGGTTCCAAAGCTAGATATCTTGTGTTGAAACATCTCAAATAAACAGCAATCATGAAAAACATTTGCTATTAAAATGAAAATGGAATGATCACAAGAGGATGGCATCAGTTTTGATAAACTGAAGCTATCTCTAAGTGTCTGAAAATGTACAGTTCAAAGTTTTATTTAAAATAAATACTACTTTTTCAGTTTCTATGGGCAGAGATAAATGGAGTTCAAAGATTTCAGTGGAGTAACAGATCAAGAGATGCTGTTATTGCTCCAGTTAAAAAAAAAAATCCGAACCTTGAATAATTTACCGACACGTTCTGTGGGCACATTAAAGTAAAACAGCAAAGACTAAATGAGTTGGCCATCTGTTGCTGTGACATATAAAATACATTTTGTTAATGGCCATGGGATGTTCTTGTTCCAGGGGTTTGAAGATGAAAGTAAAATGGAAAGATTTCAGATGGAGACTTGGAGGTTTGAGACCTAAAGAGGGTAGGGATGTACTCTTGTTTTTTTTATTTGTTCCATTATAAAAACTCTAGATATAAATTGTTTTAGCCTACCACTATCGGTTTGTTTCTCCAACGTTTCCTGATAACATAGCACTTCTACAATACATTGTCTTATCTGTGAATTTGGCAATAAACAGTTATGCCTCATTTAATACTTTGACATTCTCTTGACTGTAGGCTCTACATCACACACTCCGCAGTAGGTTTTTAATCAAAACTGGGTTATGCTTGACTTTAGAGGTGTACACATTTGTAGGCACGGGGTGTTTGTTTCCTTGGGTGTCCATTGGCCTAGGTTTTACATTTCTTTGGAAGAGGTTGGGGATATTTTTTCCCACCGAATGCAAATCTTACAGCTTGAGAAACAAGACTGTTGCCAATCTTGCACAGGAGACTCTAATCCCCCTCTAAAAGTTAAGAGACATATATATACGCACACATGCATATAGTATGTTGGAGTCTGCATCTTTCTCATGATCAGAGACCTTCATCCTATATCAAATAAGAAGGAAGAATGCTTCCAGCTGGGCCTCTTGATGGATGTAGTTGTGCTTTCTTGTAGGTCCTGGAGGGTTCATCTTTGATCTTATCTCTTAGAAAATGTGTGATGCTGGAAAAAGGGTTCTGTTTACAATACACAACTGTGCACATGGCCACCAATGGTCTGAAAGCTGCTTTGATCGAAGGCGTCAGCTTGTATGATGTACATGGAGGTGGTCGAGGCTGTAGTGTTGTTCATAGTATAAGCTGTGAGGGGCACATTGCCCTGAGGAGTGATACTGAAAGCACCGGCAGATCTGGAGTGGCCAAGGGCTACCAGTGAGGAAATCCCTGGGGCAATTCTGACCGATGGGTCAGTGAAATGATGTCCACAAGGTTTCTGTCTGATTAAAAAGGTTAGCCCTGGGAGGGTTTTTCTTTACACTGTCCACAGATACTTCCCAAACTGCTCCTATGCCATAAGCGTCCTTATCAGCTGCACAGCGTTTTGTGCACAAAATCTGTTTTGACATAAGCACAGTGCCCACAAACTGTAAGTCTGAGTGATTCCTTGTGGACTGACCGGTAACACGAATTTCATCACTGTGCAAATATTGTTATCATGCAGTTATTTTAATGAAAACAGACATGTAGCAGCCTTTTGTTGGGCCTCTGAAGACAGCAGATTAGCCGGATGTAGCAGCTGGGTTCACAACCATTTTAAAAATGCAAAAGTTACATTTCTAAATAATAACAATTCATACAGGCACTCTCTCACTAGAGTCACAGGGACAAGTTTCTGTTTTTGAGCCAGCTAAAACTCATGCATGAAAATTACTCTTGGAGATGTGATGGATTTTGTATACCTGTGCTGGAACTGCAATTAGCAGCAGGTTGAGAGACACAAGATTCCCATGAGAGAAAGACTGACAGAGCACTGTATTTGTACATTTTATAGAACACTAATTAGTGTGGAACAGACTGTGAAGCTGCTCTCACAGCCAAAGTGTTTTACACACAGTGTGTGCTCTGTGTTTGTGTCAGTATGGATAGGGGGATAATTTTAAGGGTGCATCAGTGTGTGACGATGCTTATTTTTGTGGAGAAAGCAGTAATGCAAAAGTACACATCACCAAATGTGTCACTTGATGATCTTTCGCAGAGATGAGACACTGGATATCTGCTTCCAGTCTGCACTGGATCAACCAGAAATATGGAAAGACGTTGTTTTTTTGGTCAGATATTTTACTTTTAAACATAAATGAAGTGTATTGATTTGTTAAACGTCTCTAAAACCTGCTTTGAATTCTCGATTAAATACTGTTGTAAAATCGTTTCCATTTCACTGTATAATATCAAATGTTCAAATGGAGCTTCATTGCACATCGCATAGATCCATGGCCTGTTAAGTTTAGCTAGGTATTTTAGGGTCAGTTCTGCCACATGTACACCATTCACAGGCGTCAAACTGCAACAAACAGTAGAATAACAATCAAATATGAAAGTAGGGAAGCAAAAGTAAAAATATAAGAGTTATACACATTGAAATGAGAATTAGGTGTATATGGCATCATGGTGCCAGGATTTACATAGATTGGAAACAATCACCACCTGAAACATGAGTCAGTGTGTTTAGTAAAGGTAACACAGGATAAAATGATAGTCTTATTACTTGTTGTCTGTTCGCACCCCTGATAGCAATAGAATAGGTGAGGCGGTGAGGCAACTCTCAAAGTGTAACTTGATCACTCAGCATTTGGCAGATCAAAGAATAGGTGTCCTGGACTGATATCCACTGCTGAGAAGCCAGAAAGTAGCTCAATAGGGGGTGCTTACTAAATACGCGCCTTGGAGTGGTGGCTCCGTCTGCCTCCTCCATCTTTCCACTTTTGCCAGAGTTCACTAACGCCCTTAATTTATGTTTGTGAGTCCTTCACTCTTTCCTTTCCAGATACACACGGTAATTGAATTATTCACAGCAACATTTGTTACTGCAGCTTCTAAAGGATTGAAGTATGCGTTCTTTTATATGATTAATAAATCTACCCTTGTGTTTTTTGGTTCTCTCTTTTTTTTTTTTGCTCAGCACCATGTCTTTGTATTCCCTCTCTGAGTAATAATAGATCATCTCTGGCATTTAATAATTGGGGATTTGGCTATAATACTGTTCATAAATGATATGAGAGCAGATCATCTCATCTCTGAGCGTGTTTCTTTTTCATAAACCCTATAGTTAGTTAGTTCTGGTTTCAGTGGGGGCACACAGGCTCAGTTGAGATTCTGCAGTGCAAATGATTGGTTCCAGGGTTGTTAAAAGCGGACAGGGTGTTTCCTGCTTCAGCGTTCTGGTAAAAATAATTTCATAACGGCATGTGGGATCGTGTGACATGAGAAAGAACACACTCTTATCTCCTGAATTTCTATATGGTGGTTTGTGTGTGTGATGGGGTACATTCAGGGGGCATTGTGGGGACTTGACAGTGGCATCCTGACACATTCCTTTGTTTCACACACACACGCACCACTTCATCACCCTGCATTCCTTTTATCATCCGTCTCTCTGGAACAGATACTTTGTTTTCTTTTGTGTGAGAGAAATAGAGGGGACAGATACATTGACACGCATTCTCTGTCTAAGACGGTGAAAGGGCATGCTGCACACAGTCAGAGGGACTACATAGTTTCATGAGTATAGGCTTTTTGTGGCTAAATATGTGGTTGTTTTTTGTTGTTGTTTTTTGGAGTAACCTGTCTGGAAACACAGCACTTGTTAAGTAGGAGTGACATGGTAGCAACTATGCTTGACAAACAAGCCCATGTCTGTTGTATAATGTCATGTCACAGTGCGTCCTATGTATGTTTATGAACACTATTAACAGATAATAACAGGGCCAAAGTGAGATGACCCAGATTGTTTCTAAAGTAAGCTTTTGTTCCAGAGGTTTTAGAGGGAGCCCCAATAACCACATACAAAACCTCAATAAAAGTGGCTGAGTTATTAAATAGGACATCAATCTGAAAACCAGCAAACACGTCCTGTTGAAGAGATCAAACCTCAGAGGTAAAATAAAAAAAGTAGAGCTTTCTAGTGTGAACCTGCTCCTAGCCAACTTCAGTGTAACATAAAGCAAATATTTAATGGGTCTTTTTTTAAGTCTAAAGGTAAAAGTGAAAGGAAAAGATTGGCTGCTGATATTGTTTTTCACCAAGTGAGAGTGCAGCTAAAAATTTTAATTTACTGTTTATATGTTTTATGAAAAGGAACCAAACCTCCTTTTGTGCTCAACTTGAACATAAAAGTTATCTGTTTCTCTGGCTAATTCTATATATTAAACATTTACCTGCTGTACATACTTTATCTAAAATAATACAAAATAACTAAAACATGCTCTAATTCACATCAAAATGTGCCACAGCACTCATTAAAAAATATGACCTTCAACACTGTTTTTGATCTTCCTCTTCAGTAAAATTTATAAGGGCACAATATCGTGAGATCCATTTCAAAACGGGAAAAAAACTCTAACAAAAGCCTTGAGCTTTATTAGCATTTTCATGTAGATGACTTTGGTTCATTATAGTGCATCACAGGAAGACTTTGGTTGGTCATAGTGCATCACAAATTAATTAAGTCCCAAGATTTATTGTTGTAGAGTCTTTTGCTGTTAAAAGTGGCATGCCATCATCACAAACAGCCCTTTAGATTTTGCACGATTCTGTGTCCCTTTGCACCTCTAGTGCAATCTTATTTCTTTCAGCTGAAAAAACATGAAATAAGTGAAGACAATTTGTCTGATTTCTTTCTGACTGAATCCTATTTCCTGAAATAACTGATTAGAGAATGTTGCTTTCATCTGTTCAATGCACTGGATCAAAGGCACAATTTTGCAATAGCCATCTTTGCCTTTCTTTAAAAAAATACTACAGATTGATGCCCAACACTGGTCAGGCGCCAGTCCCAGGGTGCAAATGAGTGAGACAAAGCTCATCACTCAAATGGCACAAAATATTGGCCTCAATTAAATAGGCATGAACATTTACAATGGAACTAGTTTTATATGGAAAACTTTCAAAAGAAGGCAATGATTTGGTAGCTGTGCAAAACCCTGGCCCAGCCAAAAAGTTGACAATAATTTGTCAATACAACTTTAAATTGTGCAACTCTTGACAATATGAGACATGAGAAAATAAAATTATTTACAGGGTAGCTAAAAAAAAAATCATTCAGACAGTAAATTAAAATTGATTTGAGCCAGTTAGCTGGCAAGTAAGAATCTCACATCGCACACTAGTGGTGATTTTAGAGGATGTAGACTCATAGTCAGGGTAGAACTATTGTTCAAACTCACAACTAGATACTTTTTCTTTTTAATTTTTAATTTATTTGTTTAGTGGAATATTAAGTCTGGCCCTGCAATGTACTGGTGGACCGTCCAGGGTGTACCCCGCCTCTCGTCCATTGACTACTGGGATAGGCTCCAGTCCCCCGGGACACCATTTGGGAAGCGGTTCAGAAAATGGGTGGATGGATGGATAATATCAAGGTGTTCATATAATTTTTTTTTTGATTTGCTGTTATCCAAAACTTTTTGGGGAGATTGTGTGATGCTAACATGAAAGGGAAGATGATGAAGACAAGATCAAATGAAAACAGACAAAAATATTTTCTAATGCAGTTCATTTTGGTGTCAAGAAAATCACTTGTGAGGTAAAGATGAAGCAGCTAGTTTGGCAATTAAAGTAAATAAATCTGCCCACCAGTATGTCTTAAGTTTAATCTTTGCAAACATGACACTGCAAAAAAACAAACAAACAAAAAAAAATTGAGTTTTACTCAGGTTAGCAACTTTTTTGGCTAGGAAGAGTAATTTCCTTGAGTTGCTAACATGAAAACACACACAGGGATCCATCACAGCACCGGTGACAATTTAACTGTGGTTACTTTTTATTTTGTGCCTGTGGCTAAAGCGAAACAACAACTAATCCAAAGTGTGACACGAGAACAGGGCATTTCTGTGTTTAGTTGGCAAAGAGTAATATTTCCAATTTTTAGTGGATTTTGAAAAGCATACCTGAAACAAAACATATGCATTATAGTGTCAAAATGCAATAAACCCAAGGTGGAACTTGTTTTCGCTTTCCATCGTCAGTTTTTGCCTACCCTCCTCTCCCTCTCCGCTCTTGCTGGTGAAAAACCCGACACACACACATAATCGCACACAACCTGTGAACCTGTGAGAACCTGCCACACACAAGGAATGCAACAAGAGACTGAGCCAAGAGAGAAGCCATTCATTCAGAGCCCCTACACCCCCACACTCAGATACACAAACAGCTTTGCTGGAATGTATTTGCATATGAGAGAGGTATGCACTGCATGCACATGAACACAACGTCAGGCGACTCGCACATGCTTCCACACACAATTTATGACTGAATGCTTATTCATCTTTTTTTTCCCCAGGTCACTCAAGTGAAAAGCTGACATTCTTGGTCAATATGACCCTGTCTCTCTCACCGTTTCAAAAAGGCACTTGACTGTTACTGAGCGAGCGGGTTTGTGGAATTTGATGAAAGTCCATTGGTGTGTCTTGTAAGTTTTGGGGAAAGTTGACTTGAAATGTGTTCCAAGTCTTTTTCTCATGATGCAACGGTTGCGGTCTGCAGACATCTAGTGTCCCGCCGAGCGTCTGACATGATTCAATAAGCCTGAACAACAGGGATAAAACAGGGATAAATACGAGGAGGAGCAGGAGAAATCTGCTGGTGAGGAATGTCAAGTAGAAAACAATGTCAAGAGGTACCAGTGTTCTAAACTACTTTGAATAACTACCATGAAAGCATCCATCCATCTGCTTTTGTGAGCGTACAGGAGAGCAAAAGGATGCCAACTCATTACCTTGGAAGCAAGACAACAATGTCAAGAGTTACGGCCGCGTTAAGTAGTGCCTGCAACTCAGCCGCTCCATGAATTCTTTATGCTGAGCTGCCCAATAAAACACTCCCCAAATCAAGCTCAACTGTCACTAACGGCCTGTAAATTAGCACGCGTCTCAATTTAAGTTCTCCAAAGGTGACACGCTACATGTTTTTGTGTGGCCGACGACAACGTGATTGTGTTCACAAACACATTAAGACCATCCCAGTTCAGAAAACAGAAGGAACCATTTGGATTTTCTACAATAAATGCCACTTTAAAAATAAGTTAAGGCAGCATCATTAACAAATAAAGAAATGTACATTTTTATTACGACAGAAAAGATGAACAGTATTTGCTCTAGATGAAAGATGAATAAACAAGTGAAGAGGATAAAAACATCACGTCACTGTTAAATACATGATTCATGTGCACTGTTTGAATTAAAAACAATATTTTATCATTCTGAGTGACGTTACAGTAGCTGCCTAAGGCATCAGAATACTCTACATTTCAAAGTAGCCTTTACTCAGAGAGCTTCTCTCTTCTTGACATTATCATTAAATGCTCAATTCTTGAGTGTTACATTCTATGTGTTACCTCTCTTTGAAAATAATCAAAATATACATATCAACGATGCAAAAATCATTATTCACAGTGTATGTGCAACTGGCCTTTGAAAATAAAATAAAAAATCAGTAATCAGAGTTTATGATTCAAAGAAGTAAATAAAATCACTGCTGGCTGAGCATTTCTGCATATCACAAAAAAAAGATGTAGCCACCATAGATATCACACTACTTAGTGGTCCATAACTTCTGATATATTTATTTTCATCCATCCATTATCAATACCGCTTATTCCCTGTTGGGGTCGCGGGGTATTTATTTTCAAATTCTACTATTTATTTTCTTTAGCCATCAAAAGGCACAAGGAAATACCTGGCAGACAGTCCTCACAGAGATTGAGCAGCCTACATGTTTGATATTCCAACGAGTAACTATGTACACAGAAGCTGCAAGCTAACACATGACTGATAACTGTGATGGCTACTTTGATAAAATGTACACACCAGAAGATGCAACATTTGTGGTAAGATGCGATCAAAATTCAGTGTATATCTATCAATACTAGAAAATAACATTAATTATGGCAGTTATCTTGACTGGCATAGAATGACAACAGTTTGTCAGGTATACACGATGACATGAAAGACTCCAAGAAATGCTCCGTTCTGGAAAAATGAAGGACGCAGTGAACAGCATCATCACATCTGAACACACAGAATATCCCCATATGAATATTTCATCTTTTTGTGAAATGCTCTGGTACTGTTTCCTGCACAGATTTACAGGAAGAAAATTGAATCTGTTATTTGGAGCTGAGGAAAACAGCTTGCCTGGGTCTATCCCAACATTTTAGAACTCATCTAGCCACACCTCTTTAGGGTTAATCAGGTAACACGTCCTGTCTCATTTACTGTATGTTTAAAACACACAAATGTCAGTTTTCTCAGGGCTGTATGCCAGATCGTAGTGAGAAGATATCTTAAATGAAAACAGGAAATACCGGTACTTCTATTTTGAAGGCCTGTGTATACAAAAAAAATATCCATACAGCTATTCTCTACAACACTTCAGTGTACACTTTACATTATTATTTGTCTATTAGATACAGTACATTATTATCAAATAGTAAATTATTATCATTATATTAAACATAATGTGTCTTTATAAACACAGGAATGTGGCCATAAAATAAACAAAGTCATGATTATTTAAATTAAATTAACTGTAAATCTGTTGCTGAAATTCTGTAAGGTTTCATCCAGATGAGGTGGAACTATTAAATCGATTTAAAGTGAATTAAGCCTCTTCCCCAAGTAAATGTGCAATAAGAGAAAACTGAACATCCATTCATCACTGTGACTATAATTGAGATTTACAAGGACTTGTCACTTCAAAGAGTAGAAGTCAAGGCAGAAGATCTGTATTTCACTTTGTGAATAAAGTCTTTAATTAATCTGTGGCTCAGTTATGTGCTGAACTATGAACCCATTACCTACATTTTCTTACACCAATAGATATGATATCTATTAAAAAAATAGTAGAATAAAACGAGAGCATATTTTGGGAGCTCCAGCCTAATTAAGTGAAGCCAATGTTGAGGGGCTACCTACAATTCTTCTCATGGCCAGCTGGGGGACAATTCTATTCTATTCTATTCTTCTTTTAATTCTACTGTTCATTAAGACTGAGAAGAAACATATTAGAAAATGACTTACAGAATGTTAATAACTTAGTTAAAGTTTTCTTTACAAACATAATTGCAACAGTGCTTTGCCTCTTACAGTATAATTTAAAGAGAAGCAGAAAATTGTGTTTTAGCTGTGATTGACAGGTCGCTACCACCTGCTCACTTGTGTTTTAAAGCCAGCACAGCATAACTGGTTGGAGCTTCTCAGTGGTGCAAGAGTCAACTGTAAATATTTTATTCCATTAATTACAATTTTATTTGGGTTCAACTGATGTATTTTAAATAATATAACAATGTTAGCTGGAAGGGAGTGTGGCGAAAAGGACCTTTCCTCACCGTTTCCTGTCTGTGCTTTACAATGTATAGGGGTAGGGTATATTTCAACATTTCTGTTGCATTGAACTATGAGCTGAATTTCAATAATGAGTGTGCTTAAGGCTGAGTTATGGTAACAATGATATATTATACTGTAATCTAATTTACAGAAGCACAATACATGCAACAAGAGGCAATATTTCTGTAATATCCCTGTATTGTAAAAGCAAAATACTTATTCAAGAATAGGCAGAACTAAGCAAACCCTTTACCCAGGTTGCCAATCATTCAACTGGGTAAAGCTGCCGGCATTAGCTTTGCACAATTCAACGAGGACTTTATTCAAAACATTTGCGCAATCAGTTAAATTAATCCATAAATTGTGCCACATATCCCTCTATTACAAAACCTAAGACTTTGACGTTTTGAAAACAGGGAAAATAGATGTCTTACATAGTTACTTTGTCCACTCCATAAACTTGGGGCAAATGTTAAAGAATAAAACTCGATGTATAGACTTTATAAAATATATGATAAAAATGTTGTACTGAGATTTGTTGGACTGCACACATGTTATGTTAAAGTTTATGTGAGGGAACATGTAATGCTCATTAACAAAGTGAAAAAGATTATTTGACTCAAATATGAGTCTATACAAGTCTTGTGCAAGATTTCGTTGACTTTTAATCTAAAAAAAGTCACATTTAGGGATATTACAACTGTATGCATCCTTGGGTCAGGCATGCAATTGTCAGATGTTTGTCTGCTCATGTATTGAAATAACCTAACCACACTATGGTCATCATAGGAAAGCTGTTAAAAGAATACTTTGACATTCTGAACTTGAGCGAGCCGTCACATTGTGGAGAATGTGCTCCCCGGCTTGGATGATGAATGCTGACACTGCTAACAAGACATCTCAGGGGACTCTAATAAAGACAAATGCGTAAAGTTTTTCCACAGTGTGTCAAGTGTTAAAGGAAGAAAAATGATGAGAAAAATTCAGAATGCCCTTTCGGAGGTAATGGCAAATAAATGATATAAATGGTAAACGGAAGGCAGGTTGCCATTACATTGTGATTGAATTAAAAGTGAATTCATCTCAGGGCCACACATGGCCAGTTCATCCTCTCCCGAACGTGACAGTAATTTCCAATCCTATTCTGTTGGTGTGTTTGCAGATCTGTGTGCATCTAGTCGATTCCATATTTCTCACTGTCAGTCTCCAGTCAACATTCAAGCTCTTGCATAACCATCACAGTTGCTTTCTTCACGATAGAGACCATATAAAAGATCCATTTCAAGACAGGGGTTACATTCATATAGCCTGGGTTTCCAACTGAAGGAGTGTTCGGTGGTTTACTGCATGCTGGCTGCAGACTGGTGAAGAAACGAGGTGGAAATGAAGGTGAAATGTGCCTTTTGTCCGACAATCAGGCCACAAGACCCAGGCGGGAGATCTTGGCGGAGAGGAAGGAGTGGAGGATGAAGACGATTGGCTTCGGACAAGAGTGGAGGTCCAGTTGCTGGGGGAAGAAGTGAAAACACCATAATTAAAAAAGTGGAGCAACACTTTGAAAGGAGAGAAAAAGCAGTAACAAAACAAGAGAAGCACACGGCCCTCAATCAAACTACAGACCCCTCTGGATTGTAAATAATCCAAAAAGTAACTAATACTTAATAAAATACCAAACATACCAGGTGTTTCTAGTCAGCCTTTTCTTCTGTATTCCATCATTACTTTGACTGCATGATGGTAACTCCACCATGTTTGAGTGGAGCTAAGATGCTCCCTGATTCATGGCCTTCATTTTTCATCCCGTCTCATCAAACTTATTGACTGCCTTTTTGGTGGGCTCACTATGGTTTCCTGTGTTTTCAGATCATTGCTGCAAACTTGTGTACATATGAAAACGTCTGTAAACATTTCTGCCTTCCTGTGATTTTCTGGGCTGTCCCCGTCAAAGCTTTACTTGGTTCAGAGTTCAGTGAATGGTAGGGAATGGAAACAACTCTCACAGTTTGCTCCAGCTCTGTAGATGTCTTTTGTCTTTTCACATTCACACCTCTTTCCCATTTTATGGTTTGAAAATTCTTAATAATGTAACAATGTTACAATCTATTTAAGCGGGAGATTTTGAGGTCTTTACAGTCTTGTAATCTTTTGGGTCTGACGCAAGCACGGAAAATTAAGCAAACTGATTTTTTCATTCCATTGTTTGAGGTATGTCTGGGATAAACTGTTTCTGTTGTTATTTAACTGTAGAAAGGGATTTTATGTTGCTATTTAATAACTTTATAATAATAAATGTTATCAAAAATATTGTGATAAGAACAACTCTCTACTGTGTAGTTGAGCGGCACTAAATCTAATTAGGACTCTATAAAGCCATAAACATTCAAATCTAACTCTACAGTCAATAGTTCTCCATGTGGCTTCGATTAGTAGAGTGAGGTGGAGCTGAGCACTGTACACACACAAACACCACACTATGAACTCTGCTCTGTCCATTGACTGAGTCAACAAAGGGTGATTTCAGCAGTAGCATGACTCACATCCTGCTCCAAAATCCTAAAGCCCATTGGGATATTCAACTTAGAAATTTACACGGAAAGTCTTGTTTAATTGGTTATGGTTAGGATGAAAAGGTCATCCAAAAAAGTTGCTTCATATCCGGAAAACACTGCACAAGTGAAACATTAGTAGTAAATTTCCCGAAGCAATACATTTTTTTTCCTATGTGGACAATTCAACATGGACTGAAATAAAAGGTGATACCAAAGTCAACACTGAAGAAAAATAGCCTAGGAGACATGATAGTTGAGCTCATGAGCCACAAGACAGATTCACAAACACCATGGGATTGTTTATAAAGTTCTATAGCTGTGCTAGGATTCAGATATACAACAGAAACCAAAATGTGATCTGTTCAAGAAGCCAAAAAAGGATTTAAAATCAAAGCTCAAAAGTCCTCTCTTATTCATATTCCACACAGGCATCACAATCAGCACTGCTTCTGTCTGGAGTTTTATGAAAAATATGTAGGAGGACTGTCATTATAGCCCTTTCCAATGTTTAAATCCCAGAAGCTTAGAGTCTATATGTTATCTTTTAAAATCACCCTCTTTTACAACCTACAGTAGCAACGCTATAATCAATGACTGATACAACAGTTCTGATGGGTTGTCTGGGTAAAAACAGGTCAGGGGGATAGGGTAAAAAGTAGGGTAAAAATAACAAAAAAAAATCAAGAGGCAAGAAACAAAAGCAAATAATCAAGTACTGATTATTTGTTAGATATTCCATTGATCATGAGCAAAGTAGCCATCCATTAACTGAGCCACTGAATAACAGATAAAGACAGTTTCACTAAGTAACAGGCCATTTTTCTAAGATACTGCCACTCTCCGATGGTCATACTCTTCAAAAGTCATTTGTGGTAAAGTGCTGTAATTTACTTTAAGTTGTTCCACTTAACGTCTTTCTTCCCCTCTGTCTTTCTCTCTTGTTTATCTTTCATACACTGTTGAGGTCTTTCAAGGTTATGTACAGTCCTTTTGACTTTTTTTGCGCCTGTATGAACTAAAGCGAAAAATTACAAAAAGCATGAGTTTTAATAGCAACTAATGACATTTTGAAGATTTACTGACAGAGTTTTTTTTCCCAGAAGAAAGTTACTGTTGACATGAAAACATTCACCGGACTTAGTTCAGTGGGAAAAAAGTTATTGCAGTAAACCTTAGAGGGGCATTCACTGCCACAGTCTCTGACTGAGGGAGTGAGACACTGTGGTGGTTTTTATTGATGAATCCTTATGCATAGTGCTGCTGGACTAGAAGATGGATTTGTGGCAAGTGCTTTCTCACACATTCTCACCGCAAGTTGGATTTTAAGTATCTTTAAGACTAAACACAAAAAACTCAATGCTATGCTATACTGCAGCCCACAAACTCAACAGAATAGCATTGCATTCATTAACAAAGGGACAACTGGCTAACATGTTTGACTGATTACTGATGATTCTGTCATTTCTAAATGATCATGTTGAACAATATGCACTGAACAGCCCATGATCGGATGCTGACATCAAATAGCTTTGGAGTAAAATGAATACTGTTTAAAACAGTAAGTGTTTAAAATGTTTGAGGTAAAATTATTAATACTCACTTCCATCAGATGAACAATCCAACTTAAAAATAAGTATCTTGGGTATCAGTAGTTTCCTTGCCCTTCTAATTTGTTCTTTTGTAATGCAAACAGAAAAAAATGCAAATCGAGCATTTGGTTTTTAAATAAAGTGATCAGAGAGAGTTCAATTTAGAAAGATCTGGCAAAACAACACATTTGCAGACAATCATTCTGTGTTGGGATGTTTTTTTTTAGAAAAATGTATTGTTCGTCATGTTTGCTTTCAGTAGATCATGAAAAGAAGGCTGAGCTCTTGTCAGATAAAAGGCATTAAAGTTATGCGTGTCAAAACATTATTGTTAAACACTCACAATCTCCCCCTCTGTCCCTCCAAAGTCCAAGAGGAGCATGCGTACTCCGTCATCTGATGACATCTTTAGTTTTTCAAAAGGGTAGGAGAGGAGCACTTGGGGCTTGATGGACGTGTTTACTACTCTCTCCTCCTCCTCCTGATCCCCATCTCCTACCCTGGGGTCAGCCAGCACAGAAAAGCCCTGTTCGTAGTGGATCACCAGCCGACACTCCTGCCCTCTGTACAAGCAACCTGAAAGATACAAACATTTGTTTTTATCAAGCTGCTGAAAATGAAGCAAAATGAAGGGTCAAACTGGCTTACCCAGCCTGGGACATATTTACAAAGAGTTGTAGTGACACACCATCAGGCGGTTGGTTCAATTTGTTAATCATTTGAAAAAGACCTTTTATGTGACAGATGATCACATGATTGGGAAAGACTTAAGCACACAGCCCCAGTTCTGTTTAAAGGATCTGAAGTGTTTTATAGATAAAGTAAATTGATATTGGATAAGCGGAGGACAATGGATGGATGGATGGATGGTAAATCGATATTTAGTAGATTCTGACTAAAGTCCAAAAACAGACATTGACACACAAAATAAAGAATACAGGACAGCCACATTTCTTGAAAGTGACATGTATGTGATTCTAGTCTGTTTGCTTACACAACACTCTGCGAACTTTGCTCTTTAAGTGGAGATCTCATTAAGGCAGAGAGTGCCCCCTCTGATTTGCAACAATTCTCATCACTCTCTTTCCAGCTCTTCCTCTTTTTTTCACAGCAGGAGTCTGCCCGAAAGCCCAGTGTGGCGCACTATGTTCTGTCAATTCCCCCAATTTAAGCTCCACCACTATCAGCTTTGCCTTATTCTCTGATCTCCGTATACATGGTCTTCTTTGTCTTCTTTGAGTGAAATACCAACCTTGCTGTCCCAGGCAGACATGAAGGGCTGCACAATAAAAACTTTATTTCGGGCATAGGCTCTTCTCTCAGTGACATCTCAGTTGTGACTTTGACAAAGATTAAACAAGCTAGTTTGTATTTCTACTGTTTGTGTTAAATGCCTGATAATAATACTGTATGTGTGTGTGTCTCATATACAGAGATGAGAGAGAGGGCAATATCGCCATGCTGGTCACGTAATACATTGTATTATCAACTTTGCTGAGATATGAAAGAGAAACTGAAATGCTTATCAATGCAGGTGTCTTCTCTCAAAGGTCTACAGCATATTGATGCCTGTGTTCATTTAAAAACGTGTTTTGTGCCTCAATCTGCTCTGCCTAATGAACATGGCAATCCTCTATAGTAGACGATTTGCATGTGACACCAATAGTAGATATCACACAAAGGCATATTAAATTGATTTTCTGCTTTTGCTTAAAAATAACACTGATTGATCGAAAATAATTTTCTTGCCCACTTTAGGGCTCAGCAGGGAGACAAAATAATAAGCATATTCGTCCTGACATGACGTATTCACAATTACAGTTATTGCCATTAAGCTGATTGACACACTGTGATTAGCATCTGAATGTAGGACTCTAAAGGCTAGCGGTGATAACATTCACAGAGTCAGAGGCCAAACCACAGCTGAAGTGTTAAGAAGGGGCCGTGTTGCTGAGGGCAAACTGAAATTGACAGGAAATTAAAAAACAAACAAACAGCGCATAATAATTATTCTCAATACTGGCATCAGGACATAATTCTAATTTTGATATAAAGTATTTGTATCTTCAACTAACAAACGATTTTGATTTATTCTTTCATTTATATAAATCATAATAAATATCACATAGAATATGCTCATCTGTTTTGACAGTGTGATTATTGTTTGTGGCATCTTTATAATAATGCTGATTTAGCCAGCATTATTATGCGAATGCATCTATTTCTTTAAAAAGAGGACTAGTTCAACTACAAATGCTTTAATTACAAATCTTGCTGATGCTTGATGTTTTTAAGAGTTGTCAAAAAAAGTCAAATCTTACTGTACAACTAGATTCAAAATATCAAATTTTACCTGAAACTATACCTCCTACCTGAGAACTTTGCTCTGTTGGGAAAGCAGGCTTTCCCACCAGGATACACTCACACAGAAAGGGGCTTTTCAGACTGCAACAAAGGCCCCTCTTTCTGCCGGATGGCAAGTGGAAAGGAAAGTGATAACAGTGCAACTGAGTGATTCAGGGAATGACTGAGACAGTGAGAGGAGCTACTATGTTTGCAAATGCAAAAATGCCAAAAGGTTATTATCGGGCAAAGGTTTTCCACCGACATTTGTCTTAAATTTGGAAGTCACCTGGAGGGGAAAAAGTAGTTCATATTTTGAAGCATCACACAACTTCACGTGTCACGGCAGGCTAATAAATAAATGTCCCATAAATGCTGCATTAATTTAGGTCTGAAAGTACTTCAAGTCATTAAGCTGTTTACCTGTTCACCAAGATGAACCAACTGACCTCAAATGCAATTAAAGAACCTTCACAGCTGTCACTTAGACAACATTAAAGGAAAGTTCAAGAGGATCATGTATTAATGACTTTTAACAGTTTGAATATAAGCTTCAAAGTCTGTTTCTAACCTTTGAAATCAGGGGCTTGGAACTCTTTTTAGTTGTATGGTTCAGATGATTGGATTAGCTTAAAGACAATCACTAGACACACATTTTGATTTCCAAAAAGAAAAAAAAGAAAATGCAAAACACCTTTTATACCAGGCTTCTCTTTGGGCCAAACAAACCATGTCCATTTTCAGCTTTAGAAGGAGTTGAGAGCTTGCAATTAATTATTTAAAGCAAAAGTTGGACAAGCGTAATCAAGAGTATTTTTACCTTTCCAAAAATAATTTGAAGAAGGCAAGACTTAGTGTTAGATTTAGTTAGATTTTTATGAAGATCAGCAGTACACCTGAGCAGCTTTTAAACCATTCAGCCAGGCATGCAAGTGCCTTATGCTACTAATTGCTGTGCATATCAGTATGACCTCAGAAAATAAATCACCTAAGACATAACTGAAATGACAGCAGGCCAAATGTTGGTGAAATTTGGTTTTCAGAGCTGAACAAATTACTTTCCCCTTCTAAATCCCCAAAGAATTGCCTTGTGCTTGACGAGTGACTTAAAGTTAATCTATCTTCAGAGCAAATCTTCATCATACGCTCTGACAGTGAATAAAGCATCACAATTTAGGGTGTTACACTGATCAGACGCTGACAAGGTCAATGTAATGACTCCTCAAGTGGCACCTGCTGAAATATGAGGGAATGCACTTTGTATGCAGTATCACACTCCTCCTCGGGGTGTGTAAATGACTTTCTTATTTCCATAGCAGGAGTGTAGGAAAAGGGCGATTAAATGAGTGTTCAGTTGAAAGTTTATGGAATTTAAGTTAGCAAAACTGTGAATAACAGAAATCTAATTATTTAGATTGTTTTAAGCATCTAGCCTGACCTTTATTTCAAATCAGAATAACAGTGTAGCTGCTGTAGGAAATGTTTTAGTTAGGCATGGCACTGAATGGCAGTTATCCTCTGGGCACTCATGTTTTAGCACAGTCTACTGATAAATGCTAACTTGCATTCAATAGGAAATGTGTCTTTCACAACTTATCTTAAAATGAATTATCTTTAAAACTTCAAATCCATTTGTGCACACACGTATGAAGCCTTCTCATACTAATTACAGCATGAAATTATACCTGGATCTGCGGGTGCAGAGACGCTTTAGAAAGGTTCTATCGAGGGTGTGGTGATAAATGATGCAGAAACCACTGACAAAAAGGATGCAATTTTGAGGTTGTGCATCATGTCTTGCTAGAAGCATGCTGTCGCACATATATAAGAGAAGAATTTGAGGTGAAACTTAATTTGGCACATGGAGAGAGGAGAGGAGAGGGACCCTGGGGAGGAGAGCAGTTCCCAGGACATTTTGTGCTTTGAGATTGGGAGGCCAAGAACGAGGGAAAGAGATGGAGGGTGGAGTTATTATGCTGGGATTCCCAAATGGCCAATTCTCAGAGCCAACCCCCTCCTCATACACGCACACACACACATCTAGATATATATATAAATATAGTAGAATAGCTTCCCCCCCTATAAATAGAAAGTTTGTTAACATCATCCATATGGCTGTCAACTTTCAGCTATCATCTTTTTTCTATCTCTGTGGTTTTGGAGTCTCTGCATCCATGTGCACTTACAATGGATTTAGAATAACTTGACCTAAGACAGGCCTTATCACTGCTGCATCCGGCACTGTGACATGTGCAGCACACCCTGCTGCTTCCACACTTGCCCCGCTTCTGTGTGGTCTGAATGTGTGTATGGTCTTATATATGTATATAATGTCTAATAAAAGTCTCATTTTAATGCGTTATGCTATTGGACTCACTCGTTGTGACTTCTTTGATCATCTCAGCCGATGCGTGACATCCACTGACTATGTGTCTGGTCCAGAGGGACAGATCCTTGGTGGTCTCGGCCCTGAAAAGGTGAGTCTCGATTCCAAGTCGTGTGCCAGTCCGAGTGGCAAAAAAAAGCTCTGTGCCCGAGCAAGGCGACCCCCGGTCAGGGCCAGAGTGGACAAGCCTGCAAAATGCAAACACTTTTAGATAAGGAACATGACATTTCTCATCATTACAAAAAATGTAACTGGTAAATGTCTTTTTCTAAAATATCTTGAATGACTGTCAGATAAAAAAAAATGAGTCTGGACAAAACAATTCCACGCTTCATATGTTTCAAGCAGTAAAACGTCATACTTTAATACTATTCTTTTTGATGTCCTCGTATGGGGGCCCTACCGTGTTGCTAAGAGTGGAAAAGTGTGCTCAGGGCTCTGCCAGGCGTCCTTGCCTCGCGGTAAACTGTCAAACAGCAATAGGTCCTTCTCTGTCACCACCACCAGCACCGGCCTCCAGCACTGCTTCTCACTCTCAGTCTACAGCAGAACAGATAAGCAGTGAGACCGGACACACCCTTTTTCACACAGTAAAATCCAAAAATTGCAAAAATTGGACCGTCCTTTTAATGGCATATTTCTAGAGCCGAATTGTTTATCCCACTCAGTTTGGTACTGTCTCATTAAAATGGCTCCACTAATCAGGAGGATTATCAGCTCAATAAGGGATACTCTAAAGCTGTGCAGTGGTGGGAGTTGGGCACAGTTGCCAGCAAAACGATTCAACCCTCAATCCATTGGATTCCCGATTTTGCTGGCAGCTGATCATTTAAATTCCTTTTTTTTTTTAAAGGTGCAAAATAAAAATAAACATATTTTCCACTGAATAATGGAATCTGACATGAATAAAACAATCTTAGAATTGAGTGCATGAAATGTATACCTGGATCAGTGGGTGCAGTCTAGAGAAACGTTGCTAATAGGTGTTTGGATAGATGATTAGCTTAAGTGAACAAGTGATTATTAAAATTCTAACAGGATTTCAGCTAATCCGCTCAGCTAATCAAAGTTACTCCCATCAGGTCATTTAATTTGAATTTCATGTCTTTGTTGCGGCACAATGTGGAGTGCCTCTTTATATTCTATGGAAATTACTGAAGACACTGTAAAAATATATGATTGTGTGCGCATAATGTGTAAATAAGCCTGTGTTGGGTCCACTGCAGAAATTGTGCAGGCTCCTTATTGTGTATCCAGTAGGGAAAGAGCTAAAAATAAATGTAGCTGCTTTATAGATGCAGGTATACTCTTTATGTATTTGTTTTGCCGATCCCCCTCACCAACTCATCTCAACAAATCTCCTACTCCCTTTTTCTCACACACACGCACACACACACACACACACACACACACACTCACACACACTTCATGTGTATTCTATGTGACAATGCTCCCAAACTATTCTCATTATAAGAGCTTATCTGCAGCCAAGCCATGGAATCCTAAGCTGCTCTTTGAAGTTCTGCTTTAACCAATCATACTGAGGGATTCTGAGGGTCAAGGGTCATCTCTTTGACATGATAAGAATATGTTGCTAAGTAACAGTATTATACCGAATTTAAAGGATCAAATATTGCCAAATTCATGAGGACTAAATAGGACACATATGGATGTGTATGTGTATGCGGGGCTTTGCACAGGTGTTTTGGAGGATTTTAAAGAGAGGTGGAAGCTTTCGCTCATTATGTTTATTTATGTGCATTTCGCAGATATGGGCATACGTGTATACAACAAGTGAAGACACCACAGGAACGCACACATTTGGACACAAACGAGCAATTGTTTGTCTATTTTTCACAAATTCAAATATATTTTGACCCTATCTCCTAGACCTCCTCCTCACACATAAAACACAGAATAAGCCTACGCATATCTGGCATGCAAATGGGTAGGGAAACATAAAGGCTTATAGTTTTTATGAAAAGCAAAGGGGTGTGAAAGTGCACATAAATGAATCAAGTAATTGCAATAACGAATTTCGAGCTTCTCAATGACAGTTGGTCTATATGCTGGTGTTTTAAAATATTTGGGAACATACCATCAGCCTAAACTTTACTGAAAAACAACACATGGCGTACCTCTAGAGAGCATCCAAACACCAATAAAGCTAAATGACAAAGGGGTTATTGGGCAAGGTCCAGGGTACACACTGACAGGTCACTAGTCCATCAAAGGGACACTCAAAAATAAGACACCCAACTCTTCACACTCATTTTTAGTGTCAATTTAGAGTCACCAGTTGACCTAACATGCATGTCTACAGATGCTCGGGAGAAACCTGAGTGGTGTTAACCCATGCGTATGCAACATGCAAGCCTGAGTTTTGTATGCACAAGTAGTTGTGTTCCCTTAATCTAATACAACCTTTCAACAACTGAGAAGTAAGTTCATTTCCTTAACCTAAATACTATCCTCAGTAAAACTTTAAACCAAGTCTTCACCATCAAATGTAATGCCTGACTTTATAGGGACTTGGCAAACAATTGTTTTTTTTTCCTGCATTTTGGGAGGTACGCACGCAAATACAGAAACACACAATGACTTATGCATACCTTCCCCGCCAACCATCCCAGGTGTTGTATCTCTTTGCCGCCAGCAATCCCTGTCTTGGATTTATTCTGGATGACCTCTGCCTGCGTCCGCTGTGGTGGGGTGACAGTTTTAAGGCCAGATGATCATTCAGCTTGTATAACACTGAAAGCAGTTCAGAGGATCATAGAAAATGGCAAGTGACACATCTAATGGCGCACCGGTTATGAGAGCCTTCTGTATAATCAGTCCCATTAAAAGACAGACCTGTGCCAGTGTCGATGTGACGGCGTGCATGGCAGAAAACCAGGACAGGGCAGATGGCTGGTCTGGGCACCGAAGCACTATGGTGTGTCTGGCATCAGGAGAATGCAGCTCCAGTTGTCTGGAGGAGGAGATAAGAAAAGTTTTAGAATTCATGGATATAACGAATAAAAATAAATTACCAGCTAAAATGTTTTGCTGGCCTTATCAGGCACCCTAACATTTATATATTTTTTTCCAAACTAAATGTTACCTAACTATGTTTCAGTTGCAACAGATGCTCCATTTGTCCTATCCCCTTTACAATGGGCAACGGACAAAGAAACAAGTGCCTTGAAATTTGAATTAATTCGAGTCAACTGAAAACATACAAAAAAAAACAACAAAAAAACATTTGACATGCATTCTGTGTGGGCTGGATGATACAATGCTTTCTCCCATGAAATTTCCATAACTAATCTGCTTATATCATATGGGAGTGTTTCTGGCCTTGAGAGAGAAGGCATATTCTCAGTTGCTCTGAATAGTGCTTTGATTGTGTGCTCAGTGAATATGAATTTTAAAAAGGTGCACATGGCTGCCTACAATGTATAAAGCAGTGAACCGTTACTTTCAAGTGTAGCATAAAATATTCAACTGTGTAAGAAAAAGAGGCTTGTTATTGAAAGCTAACCTAATGTCCTTTCAAGAGAAAAAAAAGACAGCAAAATGTTAATTATGTCTTCATCACAATGTTGACGACTGAAAAGGCAAAAATGTGTTAAACTAAGCTCAAATGGAACCGTAAGCCTCTTAAGCAATATCGATGCCTACTCTAACATTAATGCCTGTGGTAAAAAAAAAGAAATCTATTAAATGAAACATGATGTGTCATTTGTTGCACAAGCTGACACAATTTCCTAAGACATAATGAAATATCTGTGATTTTTTTGTCCACAGAGAAAAATAGTTGCAGCTCTCTTTTTCATCCATTAATTTATAACTCAATTTTTTATTCAAGTTGAGAAACCCACATGACTGCACTCCGCCCCACTCCTCCTCAGGTTGTGCCTCTTGAAATGTGTCGCACTCAGTAAACCCTTGGAGCACCTTATTATGAAATAAGAATGTGTGTTGTAAAAAGCCAGCGAACGCAGACCACACCCACATCCCTTGTCTGAAGCTGATCTGTGGAAAGATGGTAATCTCCTGATCTCAATATAGAGCACAATCTTGTCAAGAGTTATTTGTTGATCTTCCCTAAGGTATCAAACATTGCAGCACAAAGTGTAGCAGCCTCTGGCTGGTTACTACACTCACCATAATTCATCCATCATGTAACACCGCCAATTACTCTGAACCTCCAGGTGTTGACTTTCCTCTGTATTTCTGGTGCTTATATGGACTATATTTTCAGACGGGTTTAAAAAAAAAAAAAAGAAGATTGTACTCATGGTACATTCAACAAAAAATGGGAAATTACAATATCCAGCCTTTAGAGTCAGATTAATCAGTTGGTTTTTGTATTTATTTTAATTTTAATTTACTACCCATTTTAAAAGGTACAGCAATTGCTGAATCATCTGAAGCTAAAATGAGATGCAAAAGGAAGAGGCAGGACAGCCTTGTGAAGTCACTTAAATTTAATCTGAAAGACTCCTCAACAAATGTAGATATGATTTTTTTTCCAAATATTAGTTAGTAGTTCCAAATATTTATTCTTGAGTACTGAAAATACAACTTTTTTTTATAATATCCCCCTTAAAAATGAAACACCTACATATACATGAAATCATTTAACATTTATACATAGAACAAAAACAAAATGTTAGTTAAATGACTATGAAATAATATGTATTGACATACATATCCATATACACTATCTAGATGCCCCATGTTTTTAAAAAAAAAGAAAGCAACTTCCAAGTCCTGGGTGGCTTAACTTTTAAAAACATGCTTTCTCTGCTGTTTTCCTTTTTCCCCTCATTCTCTCTTTCTCTCTCGTCTCACTCACACATACACAACAGAAACCTCAAAAGTCCCTAGTGAATGTAATGAATTTGCACTTCTATCCCACCCGTGGAGTTAGGAGGTAGGAAGGACCATCTACTGTGGATCAGCTCCAGGTGCTACACTGGGTTAAATATAGAACCAGTTCCTGTAAAAGGCAAGTTGATTAAGGACAGGGCAGGAGAAGCTGGCTGGGGAGAAAGGTGGGGAACTCCACACACAGATGCAAGTTTGTTAAAGGAGGTCCTTTAAAGCGATTGTTTGTTTTACCAACAACTTGAGTAAGACAAGAGTCTATTTGTCATTTCCTGGCCAAGGTTTAGAGTGATTCAGTAGTCTTGCAGGCATGGTACAAGCAAGTAGAACATGAAGTATCAGTGAGAGAACAGAACATCTGCTTTAGATGATCATATCTACATGTAGCAAATATGTATAAACTTATACCATGACTATACTACTAAAATCCTTTAACTTTATTAAAGGTAAAGGCACCAGTTATATTGACATAACAATGGTTTTTACAACATCTGAATACAAATGATAAGTCCTAATAATCAAGTTCCTGGTTATTGCTATATAACTTAATCAGTGTCCCATTTGGGACTTTTGACAAACAGAAATTTGACACCCACAGGACATGTTTACTTTTAAAATCTTCTAAAGTAGGAATGTTGTATGGCAGATGATTTTTATTGTAGTACATATAAGATGTTCTTGCTTCGAAATGTAGTTTACCTAAACTTACTCTAGATTTACTCTACCTTCCACTACAAGGCAGTTGAGACACCCTTGTGCCACTCAACAGGAAAATGAATGACCTTTCTAATCCCAATGTAAAACTCATCCCCTCAGTTCTTTATAATAGCCTTTTATCAGCTGTACATGTCCTGCTTTCCTTCTGATCCCTCTGATCCCCCAGTCTCTCCGCTAAGGTTTAAACATGGTTTCAACAACATTTGCTGAAATGGAGAGAAAAGCATTAGACGGATGCAGACCCAAAAAGGATGATACACCAGATTCTCCTGTCACTGAATACAAAGCCTGTTAATTTATCTTATCTCTGAAACCTAAAAAAGAATAAACTGTGAAGAAACGTACACTCTTGGTCTGGAATCTGGAACTTTAGCTTATCATGTTGGGGCAGAAAATCTAAACATCAAAGATGTTAAATGTTTGAATCTCTTTGCGTATTAAGCACAGCTGAACACTCTTCAACTCAGCCATCCTCCTATTGAAACATTTACAAAATAATTTAATGGATAGTCAAAGGGGAATCTCTCCTGGCTGTGTGGATATGAAACAACTCATAAAAACATGTTTCTCAAGGTAAATTGGGCAAACAAAGCTTTCTCTCCGCTCCTTTATGAACTTTATGAGTCCACACAATGTTACTGACCTTAAGTCCTTACATAACTCGCTCACTAACAAATGAATGTTAGGACATACAAAGTCTTCAACTCTATTCAATTCTTGAGTGGTTAAACACGACAACCGAGATATCTTTTGAAAGATCCCTGTTTTAAGTAAAACTAATAATTTTGGAAAAAAATATCTTAACACTAAAAATGTATTTAGCAAATCCACTCCATGATTTTTAATGTGGTCAAAGCTAAAGTGCTACCCTGGAAAATGAAGAACTGCCAGTGCCTTGAGGCCGCAGACCCCTAAGGCCCCGAGTACTTGAACAGGAATGTCAGCCTTCATTTTCTGAACTGTATGTGGCAATGCATGGTAGTAAAATAATTCCCTGTCCTGAGTCTGAGATTGCAAATATCAAATACTGTATACCCAAAAGTTTTTGTTTTATATAAATAGATTGAAGCTGTCTCAGTATGCGCTTGATTGATTAAAAGACTAAATACAGAAGCGAAGCCCTTAGGGATCTTTTCTTGGACTTTAAAGAATGTTCCCAACTAGAGAACTTGTAGTTTCTTTCTGTTTTCATGGTGGAACAAAGTGACTGTAGCAATGCACATAGACAACATGTTTAGACTGGACTTAAATAAAGGAATGGCATATCCTAAACACACTGTTAAACATCATGCTACACAAATGGAAGTTCTGTGAAAGTGAAACCTATGAGGAGCTCACACATTTATTATTATTTTTGCAAATTCAAATAAATTTGGGACAAACAAAAAGATTTTGGTTCCATAGTGGTTCAACAGTTTCTGGAAGATATTATAGAGTCTTTTAGGAAGATAGAATTATCTCTCTTTGGAAACTGGGAAGATGAAAGAAAGAAGACAATATGCAGTTATCAGTGGCAAAAAACACAAAATACTGAAAAAGAGATAGGAGCAATGGTGAGAGAGCAGTTCACGCAGAAAGGGAAACAATAAGGCAACACACCGAGAAGGACGATGGCACAAACAGTTTGATATCAAAAGACGTCGAAGACAGAGATAAATCACTCACATGTGCTCTCATGCTGTTTGACCAAGCCACTGTTAAATTACTAATCCATTAGCTTGATGATATCTCCTAACAGTCCACCCCCCACTGACCGAGAATTATTACATTACTTTAAGTGTCTTTCTTTAAGAAACACTGCTCTAAGAAGTCTGAGAAACACTTTTCAGTAATCCCTTCAGGATGTTAGAGCAATTGCTCTTTGTTTGTTTATCAAATTCACTAAATGCAGTGGTGGCACAAAGGCTGTGAGGTGGCTAAGACTGAACTCTTACCTGTATCCAAGATGGATTTGTCCTTTTGTGTGTGCTATGGAATCAGATCTAATGCACAAGTGGTTTACTCTGTTGTAGTTACCTGACAATTGTACAATATATCATATTAACTTCAGTGTATAATTTCTAATTACATTTTTTTATTCAAGAATATTTCAATCCTGGACTAACTTTGTGAATACATTTGATAGATTGGAAGAACTGAATCACAAGCCTACTGCCTTTTTTTTAAAAAGATCTACAAATTGAGAAAATAGAATTTTATGACTATGTAGAGGCACATCTTGTGCTACCAGAAGACTGGTGCCACCTGAATGCCAAACAGCTACACAATGCCGAAGCCGATCAACAATTCTCTTAACGGTGAATCCTTTCATGTTTAATTGTTGTGACAGATTTGCTAACAGACTTTGATCAATGGGAATAGCAGAATATACTGGGTGACAGCAAGAAATATGTAAGAGAAAGTCTCCATAATACACAGAGACCACAGTCCAATGAGAATGCATCCATAGAATGGAACTGCTAAAGGGCAGTTCATGTTTGAAGAGGTCAGTATACATTTGTGAAAACATTCTGGGTTTAAGGTTTAACTTGCTTTAATGGTCCCATGACATTGTCCATTGTGTGAACTATATGAATTTCCTCCCTGCATAGCACCTCATTGAGAGCTTTTTGGCTTTGCTTGGAATAATACGTTTTACGTTTTTTATTTTATTTGAATATCTAGCTTTGCTAGCCTCACACCAAAGGGCTTTATGCCCTTTTCCCTTTAGCAGAACACACTGATTTGTCTGTGTATATAATTTTTTGCCACATAGTGAGCATAGCCCTGACATGCTTGTACACAATGTATACAGCAGTAGCATTTTTTCACTGCTGAAGGGCTACTTAAAGCTTATTCTGATGCATCCAATTTCCCTTAACACATGGGTAAACCTGGTGTTTCACACCTCATGCCTGAGGTCTGGTTCAGGGGTAACTATCTTGACAAAAGACCTAGCCTCTACCCTAGAGGGAGCCCCAGTATTGATAGTGGAGAAGATAATGGCTTTTGGTTATTGTGCAGAATTATTTGCAAGTTTTTGGCTTTATAAAAAAAAGTACAATACAATACATACCAACTGTATCAAGGACCTTGAATTATGTTATCATTGGGTTAATCATAGCTGCCAAACTGATTTTGAGATGCTGAAAAACATTTTCAAAGGTTTCAAAACAGATTTGTCATCCCTGAAACAGCATCTCTCTTTCTTTTTTGTCATAAGTCTTGTGTCCTTGCTTTTCTTCTAAGCATCGGTTCATTTTTGTTTGATTTTCCTCTTTTAGAGCCAAATATGGTGGTGTCAGAAAGTTCAAACAAAAGAGCACGTACCTATTCTCAGGATCTGGTGTGGTCATGGCACGTGTTACATAACACATCTTCAATGGTATGCACCTTCTGTCGCCATTCAGAGAGAGGGAAGGCTGGGGCGGAGGGCTTGGTGCGGTGGATGAGGACAAGGTGGCGGGAGGGCTGGTGGGCCGGGGAGACTCGGGAGGGGGGGCCTCCCAGCTGATCTCTGAAACAGGCGAGCCCTTTTTGACGTATGGTGTGGCCTCACGCATGTACTTAACTGGAAGGGAAATTCAATTGTATTTATTCATATATATATATTTTTACAATCAAATCAGTCAATAAAAAGACATGAAAAGAAACATGACATGAAGTACACATTCCTAAATTTCATATGGCAACAACTATGTTTACTTTCTGTCTAAATATAAATGCATAAAGCATCCTATTTTTACCAACAATATAGAGAGGACTGACACCAGCTTCTGTTAGTGAAATAGTAAATCACCTTTGATTAAACAATTCTCACAGTATAAATGCATCTTTCGAGTGCCTCAACTACTACACATATACATTAAAGAGCCTAAAAAGCACGACCAAGAGGTACTTGCAGTACCAACCAAAACATGTGAACACAGTTTTCCATTCATTTCAAATGAGTAGATAGGTCCAAACCTATGACTGTTTTTGTGCAATATGACTAACTGCATAACTGTGTGTTTAGATTTCATCTGACACAGAAACTGCGAGGTACTTTGTCACAATAGAGAGGAAGGATGTGGTAACACCACAGATGTATGTACTCAGTCATAAATGAAACTGTTTAATCAAAGTACATCTTAGACAGCCGGTAAATATAAATTTAAGTCACTGGGCAACAGCAGAAAGATAAACCAAGAGCTATCCAGAATAATGATACGTCAAAAGTGATGCAAACACCCAGGAGAGTATGAATTTATGAAAGATTTTCAGTGTGTAATTCCCTCCAGACTCAAAAGTTCCACTTGCACTCTTAATGTTTGAATTATTGAAGGATAGTTAGAAATGGACTAATTCAGTATGTTGCCCTGAGTTTCCTTAACTATCTTCCTATAATAATGAATATAATCTGCTTGTCACCTTGTCTAAGAAAGCAAAAAATACAATTAAAAACATGTTCAGCTTGTCTTTTTATCATCAAAAAGGTCTGCAAATTCATTATTTGCTGCACAGATAGCAGGAGGCTCTATGAAAAGATTACCGGTTGCCTTCCTATTACAATGGGCTGGCACAGTTGGCTCTCAGTGCTGCCAGTTTGAAACAAAGGCAGCAAAATACAAATATGCCAAAAGCCAAAACACACCCAGGCGTCTTTTCATCTTTTATTTAATTCATGATGGTTTATTTATCTATTTATTTCACTTGAAGTTAAATAGGAAATCCCTCAGATATCAAAACTTTTGGTTGAGACCCAACAAAGTTAGCATCTTTAGGTTTGAATTAAAATGACTACACAAAGCATCATATACATTATCATATATAAAAATACCACAATGTTCTGAAGACTCATACTTTCCCCTGCTGCAACAGGCTGGTGGATTCAATGAGTCAGATTCAAGGCAGTTGATGCTAAAAATCTGGGAAATTTTCCAAGCAGGAAAAACTAAAGCTTTACATGTAAATTCAAACCATGAATCACTGGAGGTTTGATAACTATTTTGAATTCCTCATGTCCTCATCTCTTGAGGGAAGTAAAAAACAGAGACAGGGCATGGGAATGGAGAGGCGAGATAAAGCAGATGCTCAGTACACTCTCTGTGTGCTGAATGTTCAGGATGCTTGGTATGGCCTGGATGGCTAATTGGCATGTCCAGTGCCTTGAATAATTGGCTGGTGCCATTTCCAATCCTGCATGAGAACTATTCTGGGTAAAAATCACTGTGAGATGGTGTAACAAGCCTAACCGCCAACCTGTAAAAGAGGATGACAGGGTGATGCATAACACAGAGGTGGAAAACGGACTGATACGAACATCACAATTGAGCTGCAGCAGCCACATAGTCCAGTTACACAGAAGAATAGTTCATGGAGTCAGATTAAATTAAACGGCTGGATAAGCAGCTGACATATTTGTTCAAATGTATCGCTGTTGTGAGTCGGACATGTGATGACAATCATTTCTATTTTTTTTTTGTAAATGGTCATCTATTTAAAAGATGTAAGTGAGATAAAGATGATGAATTTAATTAACAAGATAAAATTCAAGATTTTCTAATTAAGAGGAGAACTTTGATAGGCTGAACATGTACTATCTGCCTCAACTACAAATCTGATTAAGCAAAAGAACATGACACGTTAAATCATTGTGAAGAAGAAATTTGTTTTCAAATAATCACACTGAGATCTTGTCTGTGCTGAAAGGATGGATGTAGATTGATACTATAGGGCTGGAATTCATTGGTTACATTCCTGCTCATGAAAGACACAAAATCATTTTAAAGCATTGGAGCACACAGCATCCCTTACAGTAAAAAAAAAAAAAAAAAAAGCAAACATTTATTTATGTTTTTTAAAGCCAAACATTGCAGCAACAGCCTGGGGCCACTGCCTGTGGCGACAAGATACCTCTTCCAAAATGAAAGTACGCAGCTGAGCTATAGCCTGCGTGAAGATACCTCATGGAAACCACACAAACTCTGGTATTCTCTTGATGTCACATAGTGGTAAAAGCACAGAGAAAACAACTTGTAGCAAGCTGAAAAAGGCTACATTATCCTTTCCATGCACACTCATATTATGAAGCCATCTCCACAGCTAAACAGTCACTTGCTATTTTGCACATTTATTTGATTTGAGATACAATGTAACCAAACTGATTTCTTTAGTCATGAATTTACAAGCTTCCTTAATAGATTAGACAGTATAGCAGGAGAAATTCTAACTTATTCTGTGTCCTGTAATGGAGACGTACATGCAGGAGAAAATAAATGGGGAGCAGTACTTGCAATCATTACAGCGGAAGTGTGTACATGTGTGCATTCCCTTGGGGCATGTTTCTGTTTCGCACCAAACGCAAGCCAGCTATGCACAATAACCTCAATAACTGGAGAAAAACTTGGAGATGACAGTGCCCATGCTACTAAAGGTTTTATTAGAAACCAGACTGCTTTTCTCTTCTATAAGTGAAACCAAAAGATCCCAATAAGGCCCTGATGCCCCCCCTCCAAATCATTCTGAAAACAGTTTTTCATCTTTCTCTTCGCTCATGCTTAAAACAGAGCATGCATGCACAATTAAAGCTTTTTTTATTATGACTGCCATTCTGAATAAGCTCCTTGTGCTGTTCAGCTCCCCACAGTAATTCTCATGCACTTCTACAAATGATAGTGAAATGCCATGTGCTTCAATTTGAAATTGTATTTGCTCCTCATTTTAAGATTTTTTAACATGATTCAATTATGTGAATAATTTATTTTTTGGATGTTAGCATTTACTGTGCTGAGCCAACAGCAAATGGATTTCAGGCGTGGATGAATGAATATATACACACCAACAAGAGTGTCTGCACTATCACAGCCCACTTAACAGACAATAAGTATAATTAAAGCATTTCTTCGTGTGTCTTATTTAATTGTGTTTAACTTCACTTAAGGAGGTCTGAAGTGATGGGACGTTCCATCATATGCTGTGATTGTGATTATTTCACAGAAAAAAAAATACCCCGCCCCCCCAAAAAAGGGATTTATTAGGCCTGTGGGGGAGAAAGTGTATGAGAAATAACCAGAGCAGGGAAGTAAAAAAGAACAAACAGGCTTTTCTGGCTGCAGAATGAAGCTTTTTACGCAGGATGAAAGAGCTTTACAAATCCCCCTCATTACATCTTTTCCCCAAAAAATCTGACCAATCCCTCAAGATTTCAAATACTACCTTTTCTCGACAATGTTATTAAAGTAAACACCCTCTTACCAGTGCAAATGTGAACTAACAAAGTGACCATTTTTACATATAGTTTGGATCCCATGAAGATGCATAGAATAGACTGCTTTTAATTACAAAAAACATTAAGGACAAAGGATATAAAGACATGGAGCTAAAACAATCATAAAATCAATAGCTTGTCCGGAAGGATATCCAGGTTTCCGGACAAAATAGTGTTTATTTTAACTATTTGGTGCTGCCTGCTGGATAATTTAGTTAGTTAGTCTGTATTAAATATTACTTGCATTTCATAGCCATCTCTACACCAGCCCGACCCAATGACAGATACGTTTTTGTCCATGCTTTCTTACACTGAAACGATTTATATAAGCACTTGTTTATTTACATTTATCAACCTTTTACAGAATGTTGGCATATTTTGCACAAACCCAATACCTTAAGGGTATAATGTCTACCCTGTGAAAAGCCGAATCCTGTTGCATAAAATTGTAAGATATATGTGACATTATAGAAATATTCTTAAACATGTATTCTGGGGAGATGATGGAGTCACAACCAGGTTGACTTTGTGCATGCGGAGAAGGACTTTGGAGCACATCCTCAGAGGATGAAGCCAATGGACAAATGGGGCATCTGCAAGCACCACGACCAAGTCCTACAACTGGTATCGCGCACACATTTTCTGTTAAAATATAATTCAAATCCTTTCTGCCAAGTGCAGGTGAGAACCCCTTTGATCAAGGCTGACAAACAGGAGACAAAGGGTTTGCACCTCAATCTCTCCACCAGGCCTACAGCATCGGAGGAGCAAGCAGGGCTCAAAACTGCAGAGGCAGTTCAGTTTGCTTCAAGGCGGTTCCGAATAGGGAGAGACTGTTGATGACATAGTTTATACTTGATAAACTCCAGATGATTCACCTTAGTGATGATATTGTTGTTGTCACATCTGGAAAGATTTACAATAACATGCAGGATAAAAATATCTGTTGAGATACAACAAACAAACTAAAAGGAATGTGAAACCTTAATACAAATGCAAAAATTCACCAGACACTTTAATATAGATAAAAGAAATAATCAATTGGAGACTGAAATAAATCAAATAACAATAACCCTGTTTAAGTTAGTCCATACTGAGCATCCCCAACTAATTATATGAAAAATTCTAAGAGAAAGTCCATATTATAAATGTTATTCATTTATGATTTCTGTGGTTTTAATGGCAGTAAAAAGTTTTTTCTCTTTTCGTAATTGGAAAGAAAATGTGGTTCACTTTTATCAAAATGAAATATTTCAAAATCTCACAGAAACAGCTGCATTCAAACTCTTGATTCTTCACAAAAAGAACAGATGAAAGAAATG